GTACATGTTCATATCCTTGAAGATGTATCATGGGGTTGCTCAGTCTTCTAAGTTATCAAATACAGAAATGCTAAAGCCAAGAAAAGCCACTCTGCATATCTGATGAGTCAAGGGTATCAATACACCCCTGCAATGCATGAGCAATATTCAAAAGGGCCATCACCTTAGTGATGCTCAACAGACCTGCTCCCTGGGGTGTGGAGCCACGGGCGGGTTGGCGAGCGGGAACGCAATGCTGGGGGCTTGTGGCGTGGGGATCAGGTGGCTGTCCTTGACTGGGGTTTCCACCTCTTCAGAGATCAGCTGCTCTTGTGGGTCCACAGTCACACACACGTTTTCAGGATCACAGACAGCTGTGGGCAACAGAGAGCAGCAATGTGTTATTATCCTAATATATGACTCAGGACAGATTCTGGGAAATCAGCTCTTTCTTGGCCAAGATGAAATAAAACACACACAAACTCTGGAATAAAAAACAAAAACCAACATGTAGTAAACCAATATAAAACTTAAAAAGGAAAAAAAATACATGCAAAAGCAGTGTCTTTGTGAAGTTTATAAGCAGACACAACTGATTAGACCTAAAAGGGCAAAGAGTATTTATTATCTGCGGACTTCTCCCAAACTTTAAATACCCAAATTTGTAAGACGAAAGCTCCTCTATTACAAGTAGAGAATCTACAATGTAGGGAAATTATATGACTGTGATTTAAAAAAGAAAAGGGAGGAAAAGATGGTCAACGGAAGGTGACAGGATGCACTTTGCTTTTAAGGCAATGATCCGAGGGGAGGGCAGAAAGAACCGCACACAAATCCAACTACACAACCGCAAAAGGACCAGAATGGAGGGGGGCAGAGCTGTGCCCTCTCCCTCAAAACAGACAAGCCTAACCTTTCAGATTCAACCACCAACATGTACTCTTGAACTTGATTTAACCGCTTCCAAGTCTAAGTCCTGTTTCTCACTCTTTTGCTTCCACCCAGGTGCGACATAAGTAGTGAGTATCTGTTTGCATGGACAATCCAGAGACTCACAATTGGCCACCATTTATTTTTAAGAGATCAAGATCTGCTCCACCCAAACAAGGTAAGAGAGATCTTTTCTGTTACCCTGTTTAGCAATTTCTGAGTCGTGGGGCGGCTCTGGTTCCTGGAAAACGGGCTCCTCCAGTTTGTTTATGTCCACCTGAAGCTCGGAGTACTGCGTGGGACACACGGGCCACTGCAAATTGCTGGCGAGCCTTGCTCTCTCCTCCCTGGCCGTAGGGTCATCCCAGATGATCTGTTCATTCTGCGAGGGCTCCGTGTTGATATCAGGCACTATTTGACGAGACTGTCTAAGGAAGAGGAGAGACGATTTTACACAGAGAACCAGTTAAGCCACTGTGTCAAGTCCAACGTGTGCAGCCAAGTCATGTATTTCGACACTAGACCTGCACACCACCGGGCTGGCAAAGGCTGATGTGCTGGAGCCGATGCCAGGCCTTCCTTCCACAGTGCTGCTGGCTGGGTTCACACTGCCAGCTTCGGTGTGGCCAGCAGTTAAGAGCGAATGGTTTGCACCGCCCAACAATCTCAAATGATCCAGTCATAACAAAGCCACACTCAGAGGCCATAACTGAGACGGCAAAATCTTGCTGAGTATCATTATGTGATGGGATCCCAAAGAGCTCATTTACCTCCAAAAAGAAGAGAGGACACAGTCTTACTGTGACAGCACAGGCTGGCTAAGACAGGGCAAGGTTCAGAGGTGCTGGCCACAGCGCTGCTACGAGTCATGATCGACTCAACGGCACATAACAGCCACCACACAACATGAGCTCTACATGTAAACAGACATCAAGAGATAGAGCAGGGCTCAGAGCTATTGTACAGAGGGTCGCTATGAGTTACAGGCGAATTGATGGCACACAACTACAATTAAAAAAAAAGCCACTTGGACTCACTATTCATGTGAATAACTGGCTTCATTGAGTGTAGACAGCATAAGAAATATACAAACTTCTGTTAATCAAGTCAAGATATAAGTCTCATAAAATTTATCATCAGGGTGATTTCTTCTATTAAGTAAAGATCAAGTAACATCACAGTAAGATCTAGAATTACCTTTCCTAAAAGATTTTATTTAAAAAGAACAGAAAATGTTTGCAAATCTCTGTAAGAAATGATGTTTATTCTCTCTCTCTGCCTCATTCTCCCTGTTGAATATTAATAGTACACATGAGAGAAAACTGTACACTGAATCCATCTACTGTTAAAATGATTTTTCAGAAGAGGTAATAAAAAGCATATATATATAATATAATGAACCCAGGGGCATAGCAGGTTTTATGTTGAGCTTCTAGTTGAAAGGTCAACAGTTGGAATCGACCAGCCTCTTTTTGAGGGGAAGATGAGTTTTCTGTTAAAATCCACAACCTTGGAAACCCAGAGGGTAGTTGCCACGAGTTAGAGATGACCTGACACCCGTGGGCTGGAACTTTTTTGGTTTGGTCTTAAGATTCTGAAAGGTGGTAGGTTTGTTGTTGTTGTTATGGACCATTGAATGGGAACTGACCCAAAGTTCCAGGGGGTTTCTGAGAGGCAGTAAATTGTAAGGGGGGCAGTCTCCACCTACGATTTCCCTTCTCCCTTGTAAAATGAAGTGATTAGTGTCTTTGAACCATGTGCCTTTGGGATGGCAGCACAACTTCTTACCACTAGGCCACCATAGCTCCCCTATCATGCTTAATTCAAGAAACATCAGCAAGTCTCTAAATACAGAATTCCCTTTCTCTCACACCACTGACTCCCAGCAGACACCTACCTGAGTGCTTCGAGGACTCGACTCCGCCCACTGCGGACAGAGCGGATGCTGTCGGGGGTTGACGAAGCACTGTTGCCACCGCTTCGGGACAGGGAAGTCCGCTGGCCAGGGGCCTTCACTAGTGAGGTCGCAGACATGATCTCCTGCAACTGCTTCTGGAAGGTCTGTCGCATCTCCAAGGTCTGTGTGAGAGCTTGAAACAAATATGCCAAATCAAAGTGAGACATCTTTGTTTTGATCACATCCTACCCACGTTAACAATTTTGTCTACATCTGGTTAACTATGAATTTATGGACTTGCCACTAACGAAACACTCATCACACGTTACAGGAAAGGACTAGGCACCAATGTGAGGAACCGCTCAGAACGAAAGGCCCCCGTGACCATGGAGTGCTGGGCTGTGCATGCAGTCACCACTCATGCCCCTCTGCTGGCTCTCCCTGACTTATTCTGTCCCCTGCTTATGACAGATGTCCAACAGTCATGTGTGGATGGATCTGCCTGACTTTTTCTGATCACTTTTTGAAAAGAAAAAAAAAATCACAAGCTATTTAACTCTAGTTTTCATAAATAGTAAATACTGAAATAGGTATCAAATACTTTTAGAATAAACAGACTGAGAGAGAATCAAACTCCAGCCAAGGCTGGTGAGTTCATCTTGGCTCACAGCAATCCTACAGAACAGAAGAGAACCGTCCACAGTGTTCCCCAAGGCTGGGGACCTTTACAGAAGTGAACTGTCACATTCCTCTCCTGCAGAGCTGCTGGTGTGCTTGAACTGTCAACCTTTTGATTAGTAGCTTAATGCTTAATCAACTGTACTACTAAGGCTCCTTATGAGCAGAATTAATAGACTAGGTAAGTCACAGAGAAAAGCAGTGTGGGGCAGTTAAGTATGGAAAATTAGGAAGGCTCAATTCATTAGGCTTGGAAGCAGGAGCGGCATCCACTTCCGTAATCGCTTGCCTCCGGAAACCCATGAACCTGGAGAGAGGATGAAAGACACCCAAGCGTCGAGGACTCTCCTTCACAGGGTCGCTATGAGTCACCTGCGACTCGATGGCACTTAACAACAACAATTCATTAGAACCAGAAGATGCATGGCCTTTCCTGCTGCACGGCACTGCCAGAGCTCTTCACTGAATGCATATTAGGGTTTTTTACTGCAGCAGTATTTTTCTTATGAGGAAAACGCCAGAAATAACTTTGAAACCTGTCAGCACTCAAAACACAAAAAACACAGAGCTCTGGTGGCATAGTCTGTAGGGTCTTTCAGAGTCCCCACTGGCCTGCAGGAGAAAGATGGGCCGTCCATCTCCATCTATGCACCTCCAGCTCGAAAACCCACTGGATGGTTCACTATGAGCCTGTTCCGACTGAAGAGGAAGGAGCTGAGAAACATCCATTAACAGGGAGTGGGTAAAGACACTACAGTCGTCCAAATGGTAAGCTGGGAGCTCTGGTGGCTTGGTGGTAAGAAGCTGCACTGCCAACCCAAAGGCACGCAAGCTCGATTCCACCAGCTGCTCTGCTGGAGAAAGAGGGACAATCTCCTCTGGTTCGATTCAGGGCCTCCGAAAACCCGCTGGAGGGGCAGCCAGGGCTTAGTTCCAACTTGACGGTACACAGAGCAATAAACAATAAATACTACGCAGATACTCACACGGAGGTGTTATCATTTATGTCACTCATGGGTTCAATCAAGGTCAAGGTAAAGGACAGCACATATGGTGTTCACCACTTAGGTATCTAAAAGAAGTTGAGTTCTTAGGACCACAGAATCATGGGACAGCTCAGTTAACCGGCACAGTATATTTCATCACATTTATGTTCTCGTCCTAACTTCGTGAGTAGCGTCAGGGTTAAAGGCTTCCTAAACACAATAATCAGTCTCTTCATAATAAACAAACTCAAAGCAAAACCAAACCAAAGATTCAAGAGAAGAAACTAGTCAACTAGACTAAAGTCTACACAACACACAACCTCCTCTACGCTGAGACCAGAACTGATGGCACCTGTAATCACTAACCGTCATTCTGACCAGGGCCACATGGGTTCTGATACAATGAGAGAAAACGTGGAACAGAACGCAAATTCTTAAAAAATCCAGACTGACTGACCATTTGAGGCTAGAGAATCCCTCAAAACCACTGCCTGACATGGTCTGAAATCCTTGGTTCATGAAAATAAAGAATAGTAACTGGAATACTGTTCAACTTTTAGAATCACTATCACAAAAACAAACCACAAAAAAGACCTGTGTTACTGCTGCTGTGCACCTTTGAGTTGGACGTGACTCACAGCTGACCCTCCAAGAAGGTTTCCCAGAGAAAGTACACCACATGGGGGGAGCCTGCCCATCTGTCTCCCACAGGACGGCTAGTAGATCTGAACCATATGTCGAGGAATTGTCAGCGAAACTCCTGACCACTAAGCCAACAGCACTATTGTGTAGAAACTTGGTTAAATGGGAATCTAATGTTCTGGGCAAACTTTCAACAAAAGCACAATAATTTTTTACCTTGTATAAAGTGGAGAGAGAGAAACTCTACATGTATGATTATGCGTAAAAACAGCTCTGGAAGAGTGAGTAGGTAAGAAACAAATAAAACAGAAAGGTGAGGGGGAAATACTTCCTATCTTCTCTTAAACCTTTGAAAGCATATAGATATATTTAAAAAATATGTTGGTAAAATAAAAATTTTTGGAAAAAAAAAATCACTGGAAGTTTAGAATTGAACCAAAGATACATTTTTCTAAAAGGTTACCATCTGGGGAGCTCTGGTGGCCTAGTGGCAAGAAGCTGCAACTACAATCCCAGAGGCGCACGGTTTGAATCCACCAGATGCTCTGCCGAGGAAGGAGGGACAATCTCCTCCTGTACCAGTCAGATCTGATTTGACGGTACATGCACACAAAAATAATAAAATTAAAAAAAAAAAAAAAAGTTACCATCTGCACCTTCCATCAACGGAATGAGACTACCTCTAGTAGCCTAACTCGACAGACAGAATGGTCTGACGATTTACACGCAGATCAAAGCACCTGGGATGTGCAGATGGACTTCAATCACCTGTCAAATGAACGGCTGTTACTCACCCCTCACAACCCCCACTACTCAGATACAAACTGCTTCTATTATAATTATTGTTGTGTACCAGAGTTGGAACCGACCCACAGCTGACCCTTCAGCAGGTTTTCAGAGGCAGTTACTCACACAGGAGGAGATTGCCCATCCTTCTCCTGTGGAGCAGCTGGTGGCCTCGAACCGTGGGTTTTCAGGACTGCAGTGCAGCTTCTTGCCAGCAGGCCACGGAGCTCCATATAGTAATTACATGGCTCTATATAGTAATGATATTGGCTCTATAATAATTAGAGCCAAGAAAGTCCCAGTTGTTGCTGGGTGCTGTCGAGCTGAGTACACCTCACAGTGACCCTATCAACAACAGACTGAAAACCCTGCTCCCACCCTCATCACCCCCGACACAGTCGAGCCTAATGCTGCCAGGTGGTCCTAGTCTATTTAATAAATGAGGTCATGATGAGCTGGGGACCCAAACAGCTAACAACAGTAACAACTGAAAATATTTCTTAGTGAACAGGAAAAGCTTGGCAAATTTTTTATGATAGATATGGAACCTCAATCAGTCCTCAAATAGAAGTCTAATTTATATTTACAGGGACAGAAAAGAATAATTCCTCCACATGATGTAAAAAAAAAAAAATTCTGCAAAGAAGATGTAATTTTTTTTTGTCATTTAAAAAACAATTTACCTCCTTTAAAGCAGTTCTTTCCACTTCCATGTGACGTGCCCAATTCATTATTATCGATGGCTACAATGTCTAGATCCTTCTCTTCTAACGGCAAGGGATCAGACTATTCCGAGAGAAAAAAAAGAAAACTTCTCAAAAGTTAGGCCACTCTCTGCAGAGAAGTCACAGCGGTCATCCTGAGGAAGGCTCGCCCATCACTGACAGCCTCACCTCTTCCTCCTTGGCTGCGCCCTCAGCTGGGAGTGGACGCCCTGGGCAGAGCTTGCCGTCCTGCACTGCGCTGATGTCCAGGCTCATTTTGGGGTTGTAAGTATGTGGGTACAGAGACTCGGGAAGACGCCTGGACTCTTGGGCACACTGCAATACAAGGGGGTTTTAAAACAGGACTGAAAGAAACCTTACTGAAGAAAACGAAGACGCTAAGTGGGATGAGGACAAACCAGTAGACTCTAAAATGGCAAAGAAGTTCACAAAACAGAGGTTTTTACAAAGTAGTTCATGCCCGTCAACAAGTGAAAAACTATGGTATATTCACACAATGGAATACTGTATGCAGCATGGAAAACCAAAATATTACACAGCCTGGGTGACCCTGGAGGATATTATGCTGAGTGAAATATCTCAGTCACAAAAGGACAAATGCTGTTTAACACCACTGTTATCAAACAGGAGTGACAAGGGGGGTTGGGGGAAACCAAGAAAAGAGGCGATAAATAATGAACACTGAACTGGAACAGATGAAGGAAAGAACTATTTAAAAGGAATATATGGCTAGGCATTATTTGTATGACAACAGTCCGGAATAAGAGGTGCACAGCAAAGTGAAGGGGGGGAAAATGATGCAAAAAATGAATGAATGAAAATCCAAATTTCCTGTAAACTTTCATTTAAAATCACAATTTTTAAAAAAGTAGTTTATAGCATAAATTTCTGCCATGTTATTGCTGTGTCTCAACAAGTCAGAAGGAACTCACAGCTGGCCCTCTGGCGGGTTTTCATAGACGATTACTCGCATGCACTGGAGGAGATTGCTTGTCCTTCTCCCGCAGAGCAGCTGGTGGCCTGGAACCACATGCCTTCAGAATTATAGAGTGGCTTCTTGCCAGAGCTCTATGGAAGTAGTTTAATAGTGTCTGTGTGTGTGTGTTCACACAGACACACAGACACACACACACACAGACACACACACACACAGAGACACACACACACACACTGGTGTGTTATTCACAAACAGATTCACCCTGGAGAGGGTTAAACCAGGCTGCTCCTTGGAGGCAAGGATTCTGAAGCTTCATCTGACATACTTTGGTCATGTTCTAAGGGGGCACCGATCCTTGGAGAGGGACGGCACGCTTGGGAGGGTGGAGGGACAGCACAGGAGGGGAAGACCCTCTATGAGGTGGACTGATTCATTGACTAGGGTAATTGGGATGGGTGTATCAGAGACAGTGCGACTGGCAAAGGACAGAGCAGGGTTTGGGGCTGTTGTACATAGGGTTGCTGTGAGTCACAAGCGACTCGACGGCACATAACAATAACATACATGTATATGTGTGCGTAGTTTATAATTACAATAGCCTTACTTTTTAAAATGTATTGTCCACAAAAGTCTTTTAAAAACAATTCTGTGTTTCTGCTCTAGGGAATACATAACAAAAATAAATAAATGACACTGGAAAGAAAGTAAACACAGTTCAAAACTGTAACTAAATATCGTCAAATTGGAACCAGCTCCTGGCTGACCCTCACTGGCTCTCTGAGGCTCTAAATCACACAGGAAGAGATTCCCCATCTTCCTCCCTGGATCCCAGGTGGATTCAAACCGCCCGAGGTGTAGCCGTAGGGTGAGCAGCGCAATTCTCTACAGACTCCACCACCAGAGCTGCCTCTACAATGCACAGGCCATGCTAAACCGGAGAACTATTGGAAATGTTCATTCCCACCACTTTTCATCTGTAGCAGGACTGAGAAAACAAGCAAGAGGGTTATTCTTTAAAGGTCTATTATATCTTTAAGGAATAAAGAGAAAGTGATCGAGATGCCGAAGTGGGAATAAGGGCAGAAAGAGAGGGAGCTCTGGTGGCCTAGTGGCAAGAAGCTGCGCTGCAATTCCAAAGGCATGTGGTTTGAATCCACCAGAGACTCCACTGCAGAAGACGGGCAATCTCCTCCTGTGCCAGTTGGATCCGATTTGAAGGTACACACAAAAATAATAAAACAATAAAATAAATAAATGAAAACAATTTAAAAGGGCATAAATAAGGAAGATTTTAAAATACTAGACAGGCCTTTACGTTGGTCAGTGACAGTGGGGAGGACGTGCTCCTTAGAACAATCAGTCCTAAGCGATCAAGCCGGCAGCACTTCCTCAGGGAGGAGGATGAGAGGAAATGGGAAGCACAGTGGGAAGTGGGAAGAGCGCTCCTACAATGTGGGATCTTAGCAACACAAGGAGCAGAACCGCAGAACCAGAAACCAGCTTAGTGCACACCCGTCCACGGGAATGAAGATGACATGCTAAAACAAGACCTGATGGTCACACTTGTGTGCACGCGCCACAACGGGCTTGTGTTCTCTGAGGACTCTCGGCAGAAACGCTCATCTGAAGAGAAGAGGAAGGGAACTGTTACTCACTTCTAAAAGCCAGTGTTCTGAGACAATGTGAACGCCTTTCTCTTTCACAGCTTTGTACTCCCGGTTCGTGTCGTTCGGTCGTCCCTGGTAGATGAAATGGGTCACTGTGTCATCAAAACTCCACCTGAAACAAATACAACAAAAGCAAGTAACTAAGGGGCGGGGGAGGGGAGAGCCAAATTAGTTTCAGATGATCAATATGTATTCTAGAATATTTTGGTTTTTTACTATGCTGGGAATGAAGAATGCCACTACAGTGTCAAAAAAGAATTTGAAAAATCTACCTTGGAAGTACAATGGCGTTAGTGACAGGATACTATCCATCTGCATCCAAGGCAGAACTGTTAATACAGGTATATTATTCATGTTTACCCATCAGCAACTAAAGCCAAAGATGAAGAAATTGAGGATTTCTATCAACTTCTACAGTCGTAAACGGACTGAATATGCAATCAAGAGTCATGTATAATAAACTGGTGAGTGGAATGCAAAACTTAGGAACAAAGAAGAGGGATAAGGACTCAGAAATTATGGGCTTAGTACCAGAAATGAGGGTGAAATACTATCAAGGATTGCAAATACCTTCTTTTAAAAAACATAAGCAGCAACTAAACACATGGATCTCAGATTATTTACAAAATGGCCAGAACAGTAAATAAAAAACTGCCAGAAATTCAGGCTGGTTTTAGAAGAAATCGCAGCATAAGGTATCATCATTGCTGGTGTCAGGTGGATCTTGGATGAAAGCAGAGGATGTCCAGATGTGTTTTATTGACTATGCAAAGGCATTTGACTGTGTGGATCACAACAAATTATGGCAAACATTAAAAAACGGGAATCCCAGAACACTTAACTATGCTCATACAAATGTATACCTAGACCAAGGAGTTATACAAACAGAGCAAGAGAACATTATATGGTTTAAAATCAGAAAAGGTATGAGACCAGGTTGAATCTTTTTTCCATACCGATGCAATCTGTAAGCTGAACAAATCATTTGAGAAGTTGGACTATATGAAAAATGTGGCACTGGTATAGGAGGAAGACTCATCAACAGCCTGTGTTATGCAGATGACACAACCTTGCTTGCTGGAAGTGAGGACTTGAAAAGCTTGCTGCAAAGAATTAAATACTACAGTCTTCCATTTGGGCTACATTTCAACAATTAAGAAAAAAAAATGCTCACCACTGGGCTAACAGGCAACATCATGACAGAGAAGGGACAGATATTGTCAATGATTTATAATCGTGCTTGGATCCACAATCAACACTCTTGGACAACACTAGCAGCCAGGAAATCAAAAGACATAAGGTGTATGCTGCAGGTTAAGGACTGTGGTATTGAATATGGATTGAAGCTCAACATCAAGAAGACAAAGATTCTCACCACTGGGCCAATTGGCAGCATCACGATAGATGGAGAAGAGACTGAGGTTGTAGCAATTATAGCTTGCTTGGTTCCACAATCAACACTCTTGGCACCAGTAGTCAGGAAATTAAAAGACGAATTGTGCTGGTAAAATCTGCTGTTAGGGACCTTTCCAGAGTACTGAGAAGCAATGATGTCCATCTAGAGACTAAGGTGCACCTATTCCAGACATAGAATACATTCCATTACTTGCTATGCAGCAGAGAGCTAGGTGATGAACAAGGATGACAGAATTACTGATGCCTTTGAGTTGCAGTGCCTGAGAAGAGTCTTGAACATATCATGGACCGCCAAAAAAAACCAAATCAGTCTGTCTTGGAGAGGGTGAAACCAAGTTTCTCCTTGGAGGCTTGGATTGTGAAGCTCTGTCTCACATAGTTTGGGCACCTGGCCAGGAGGAACTGGTCCTTAGACAAGGAAGGACATCATGCCTGGAAGGGTGAAGAAACAGTGCAGGAGAGGAAGACCCTGAACAAGATGGATTGATACAGTACCTGTGATAATGGGGGTTGGTGTGTCAAGAGTCAGTGAGACTGGCTCAGGACAGGGCAGGGTTCAAAACTGTTGTACACAGGGTTGCAGGTGACTTGATTGCACACAACAACAACAACGCTGCACTGCAAAGTTTGCTCTCAGGGACCTCTCCAAAGTGCTTAAGATCAATGACGTCAGTCTGAAGACCAAGTTGCACCTGATCCAAACCATAATAATTTCAATTATTTGATATTTAGCTGACAATGAAAAAGGATGACAGAAGAATCACTGATGGCTGTGAGTTGTAGTGTCGGAGAGTACTGAATATTCAATGTGTATGATGAGCAAATCATTTGAGAAGCCAGACTATAAAAGGTGGGGCATTAAGATTGATAAAAGACTAGGCGGGGGTGGGGGTGGGGGTGTGCAAGCGGGGGATTGTGTACCAATGAAGGAGTTTTTCTTCTGCTTTTCAAGGAGAGGAGTGAACTGGGGGTGGGGGTGGGTGGGGAGAAAAGTAAAACAATGAATGAATGGAATTCCAAAATCTCTGTAGATGTTTATTGAAATTAATTAGAAAAAAAAATTTGACGAAAGGCTAAATCAACCAATTATTCAGATAACACAATCTTGCTGGCAGAATGTGAAGATCTGAAACACCGCACAGCAAAGACTTCAATACAGATTACACTTCAACATCAAGAAAACAAAAATCCTCATGAATGGACAATAAACAAGATCAAGACAGATGGGGAAAAGTTTGAAGTTGTCAATAATTTAATTTCACTAGATATACAATCAACACCCATGAGCAGCAATTAAGAAAAAAAGAAAATTAAAAGATGTGTTACATTAAGAAAATTTAAGGTCAAACACTTTTTTTTAAAAATATGGACGCTTCACACATTTGCTTATCATCCTTGCGCCAGGGCCCTGTTAATCTTCTCTGTATTGTTCCAATTTTAGTATATGTACTGCCGAAGCAAGCACCAGAGACTTCTTTAAAGTGCAAAAAGGCACGGAGGTCAGATTAAATACTAAGATGGGCCTGATCCAAGCCACAGGATGTTCAAATTGCTTCCACGCCTCTGAAAGTTGGAGAAAGAATAAGGAAGACCAAGGAAGAACAGATGACTTTGCGATGCTGGAGAAGAGTGCTGAATTTACCATGAACGGCCAAAAGAATAAACAAGTCTGTCCTAGGGGAAGTGAAATCAGGGTGCTCCTTAGAGGCGAGGATGGGGAAACTCTCATACTTGGGGCACATTATCAAGACAGTCAAGTCGTTGGAAAAAAGCATCATGTGGGGAAAGGTAAGAGGGTCAGTGGAAGAAAGGAAAATCCTAAATGACATGGACTGTTACAGTGACTCCATATGACGCAAGATAGGGCAGGGCTCAGAGCTGCTGTTCACAGGGATGCTATGAGATCTACTTGACTCAACGACACCTAACAACCACCACCACCAATTTATGGTAACAATCAACTCACTCACTGCACTTAAGTCGGAACTGACTCTTGGATGACCTTCCAGTGGGTTTTCAGAGGCTGTAAACTGCATAGGCAGAGACTGCCCATCTTTCAGCCACAGAGACGCTAACAGAACAAGACTTACCAAAGTGGGAGCTGAAGCTACATCCTTCCCAAACAGTTCATTCCTTACTTCTTAAACCAGTCAACACAAGTGACCAAATGAACTAGCACTGCAGGTGCTGGCGAAGCAGTTAATTCAGACCTGGTTAGGGCAGGCACGGGCCTCACAACACTGCAGATGCTGGAGAAGCAGTTAATTCATAACTGGTTAGGGAAGGCAAGGGCCTCACAATCACTTCACATTAATTGTTCTAGGGCATTCTCTCTAGTGTAGTCTGCTAGACTGGAGGCAGATCTGATATTCTGTCACCAAAGTAGAAAAGAGGATAGAAATGAAAACAGCTTTGAAAAGATTCTCTTTAAAGAGTGTTACAAGTGTCCTTAGTACTTACTCATCAAAAGGTTGCAATCTGAAAACCGCTAAAAGAAAAACATGCCTCACCAGACATATTTACTAGACTCTAAACTCTTCGACGGCAGGGATTCTTTCAGCTTGTACTGTTCATTCATGAGTGCTAAGTTTCTAAAACAGTTTGTGGCACAAAGCAGGGACTCAAATATTTATTGAAAAAAACCCTAAAAAATTAGCACACGTAATTGTCCTGGTGTGGGAGAAAATACTTATGAGGGATGTGGTAAATTAAAAAATCATACTGGGGAGAAAAGGGAAGCATAAATGTTTCCTGACAGATGCCGACACTAGCTCTAAACCAGATCACTTCGCAGAATTTGCCAACTACCTGTAATCTGCTCCTAGAGAGGCTGCAATCCCGTTTAGTTCACTCTGCTTCTTGCTGAGCTTTTTACTAACACAGATGACTACTTTGTGAAGCAGCTTTGGAGTTTCTTCCTGTAACTAGAAAGCAGAAAGAGACATTATCTAGCATGGTTTGAAATGTTTTCTCACCTAAAAGAGCCTTTCAATATTGAACTGAATTCTACCTTTTCAGCCTGGGCTTCCTTCAGTTGAGGGCTGGCAGAAAGAGGGACCGCATTCCGAGTGCTATTTGCCAAAGCCAGTCTCAAGTTTCTGCCAATGACTTCCGACAGCGGTGTAGTCAGTTTGCTTTGCTGCTGGCCTAGATGTTGCGGCGTCTCCAAGGCTGCTAGGGCATCCTGCATGCACAAGAGACAGGGAAAGAGGCAGAAAGAGAGCATGGAAGGGGAGGAAAAAGAAATCAACAGAGCAGAGAAAGAAGATGGGTGGGTTAGAGATTGGGAACAAGGGAATGAACGTCACTATCAACTGAAAAAGAACTTGAACTTCCCTGGTTTCACTGTCTGCAAATGGTATTAAAAAGTATGAAAATCTCTTAACTGGATGTGTACTATGAAGGGGGGTGGGGGAAGCCCCATATTTTTCAGCAAACTAACTCCAAGAAACTAATAATAAGCTTACACTTTTAGCACTGTCTACTACACTTACCAAAATGTATCTGAAGCAAGACAAAGGCATAAAAATCAGAAGAAAAAACGAGTATGCAACACAAGAATACAGGCAGATGAAGTACAAGGAAGGTTGAAAATTCAGCTAAGAACTGGAAAAAAAAACCCTAAAATGGAGGAAAAAAACAAATACCTACCCAAACCCAAAACAAACCAACCCAGAAAACTGCCCCCAAAATACTCTCTTCTTCTCCAAAACACTTAAAATCATTTCATCCAAAAGGAAGCCACTGTTGCCAAGTTAGTCTCCTCCCGCCCATTTGCATAGTATTCCGCGGACAGAGCAGACCGTACTGAGCTAGTGTCCAACTGATGAACATTTAGGAGAAGAATCTTTTGCTACTATCATGATGCAGTGAATAACCCTGTATCGTTATTTTGCAGAATTAAAGGGAACCGTGGGAGCAAAATGTATACACCAAAGTGGACACTTAAAATATTAGCATGAGGCAGCATAACAAGGGCAGATTTTTTATTTAAATATTAATTGAGCTTAAAATTTTTATGTATTATATGGTCTTTTGTGATAAATATCATTTACCTATTTGTCCACTGGGTTATTAAGCTTATGTTTACTCACAAGGCTGTATTTTTATGTTTGTTTGCATTGTATATATCCACCGTGGCAGGAAACACAGCTATCTGTTCGTGGATTGTGATTTGTGAAAGCTTTTCCATGTAGACCTTTTCAATGCTGTCAGATTCATGAACCTTTTCTTTATTGGGGAGTGGGGGTGGGGGCACGTGTTAATAGTTAGGAAGGCCTCCTCCACAATGAAATAATTTAAAACAAAACCAAACTCTCTCACAGCCTAATCCAGAATTTTCATTAATTTTTTTTTTTACGTAAATATTTCATCATCTAAAACTACTTCTGATGTAAGGGGGAAAAAGATTTAATCCCAACATTTTCACAGAGAGGTACCAGACTGTCTAATCAAAATGTCACACTCATCATAGTGCACATTCCTTTCTTTAAAGGATGTCAATTTTTTCCGGTTTGCCGTCGAATCGGATCCAAATGGCACAGAAGGAAGGTGCCCCTCCAGCAGCCCACTGTACCAATTAGTACAGCAAAACAAGTAGGAAAAATAAAGAAACCCTCTTCTATCTGAAAATTTTAAAACTTTCTATCAGTACAAGTCCTAAGTTAAAAAATCCAAAAAGAAATTAGGAAATTGCTGCAAAATGACAATGAAAACACTACAAACTTGGGTAAAGCGTGTGCAGGAGTTACTCAAAAACAGTAATATCTGTGGCAACATTTTGGAAGTGAGCAACTGCCAATGGGACAGGTAAAGCATGAAAAGCAGCAGTCATCAGACCTGAAGAGATGTTTGTGCTGGACCATGGCATTGATTCTGACTTGCTGCCATCTTTTCTGATAGAGAAGGGCCTCAGAGGAATTTCCTTTTTGGGTTTCTTCCTCTTTTTTTATTTTATATTGGTTTACTTACAAAGTTCGCATACATTCTTTTTCACACTGGGTCTTTCCTTTACCCGCCCCTCATTCTACCCATCAAACTGTGCAAACGCTATGATGAAGGCCCCCCTCTCCTTACCATTCTCACCCCTCTGCTTCCCGCCCCCCTCCTTGGATCCTCATACTTGTTCTACAGTAATGGCTCTATACAGTATTTGTCTTTACGAGTTAGTTCACTCAGCATAATGCTCTCCAGTCCCTCCCAAGTTAGGTAGCAATTTTCAAAATCATTGTTCCTGCGTAGCGTTCCATTGTGTGAATGTACCAAAATCTCTCAATCCATTCCATTATGGTTGGACATCTGGGATGTTTCCATGTTCTTGTGATAGTGAATAAAGGGCCTTTGTTTTTAAAGACAAGACTTTGATACTATCTCATCTGAAAAGCAGAGAGAAAAAGAATAAAGAGCCCAAGACATCTACAGGATCCTGTCAAGCAGGCTCACACACACACACACACACACACACACACACACACACACACACACATACACACACAGGAGATTCAGAAGAAGGGTGAGAAAAAGGGGCAAAAGGAGGATTGTGAAAAAATTAAAAACCAAAAGCACAAATCTTACACAAGACATGAACAGATGGACCCAAGAAGCTCGTGAATGCCAAGGAGGTAAAATCGCGAGAGATTGCAGAAAGATGATCCATTATATTCAAGTTGTCAAAGATAAGGAAACAGTGTTGAGATTGTAAGAAAGAAGCAACTATGCTTGTAATATATAATGGATCCTCAATAAGACTGACAGCAAATTTCTCTTTAGAAAAAAAAAAATCAGAAGACATTTAAAGTACTGAAAGAGAGAAAGAGCTATGAACAACAACAAAAAATCCTAACTAGCAGAAGTAGCCTCCAAATTGAGTGGAGAAAAGAGATCATGAAGGTGGCACAGGATAGGCCAAGATTTAGATCTGTTGTTCACAGGGTTGCTAGAAGTCCTAATTAGTTTTATGTTACCTAATAACAAAAATTTGAGAATGTACTGCTACAAATTTAAAAGAATGATGTAGAATTTAGTGTTTCATCTTTCACAAACTTTAAATTGTTAGCTCGGTACCATTCTCTGTAAATCTCACCTTCACGTCAAAGGATGGTTTGAACAGTTTGTCTTTGGAAAGAAATTTCGATGGTGTGTCCAGGTGTAACAAGGGCTCCTTCTGTGGCGGCTGTGAGTCGGCTGAGGAGACTGACCCCTGTCCCGTGTGCTGGGAGACCACGGCGTGGAAAGCTTTACTCTGAAAGCGGTTCATGTCGAGAGGGCTCACGGCCGTTTTCCTGCACGCTTCCACGTGTGCGCCAGGAGGCTCAGGAGTCTCTGGATTTAGATGCACTCCATTTGCTATTCTGGTTTCCAGATTTTGCTCTAGAAATTTAAAATGAGAAGCAGCGTGAGCTACGATATCTGAGAACATATATAAGAATTGATTTTATAATTGTCTTTGGGCGAGCTCTGGTGGCCTAGTGGCAAGAAGCTGCACTGCAATCCCAGAGGTTAGTGGTTTGAATCCACGAGGTGCTCTGCTGGAAAAGGAAGGACAATCTCCTCCTGTACCAGTCAGATCCATTTTGACAGTACACACACAGACACACACAAATAATAATAACAACAACAAAAATGTCTTTGCTGGCTTCCAAAGGCACTGTCAGGTACATTTTAAATTGAAAGTATACATCTTAGAAAACAGTACACCAGATGATGTTTTAAAAAGTATGTTGATTTAGGACATGCAGGGAACAAGTAACCAATTCATGAAAATGGATTCACATTACCTCTTTTTTGCAGTATCTTCCAATAATCTCAAAATTTGCCAAAAATTGCATAAATAAATTGCCACCAAAATCAATGGTTAAAAGTACCATTAAGTGTCCTCAGAGTTAACAATACAGTTTGAAAATGCACATCAGTCAAGTCTGGAAAGTCCTTAGAGAGACTTGAACATGCCTCGTGCCTCAGCCGCAACAATCCCTGTTGTGTCTGGGTAAACATGCCACGTCCCTGAGAGCTGTTTCCAGCTGCTGCCTTTCCCTGAAGCATGACCAGGATGGCACAATCTTACAAAGTGGCTGTTCTCTCCATCCACTTCGCCTGCTGCCTCTTTTCAGCATTTGACAAAAAGAATTTGCTGCACAGTTAATCGCCACAGGCCCAAGCACATTCTCTGCCTTTTGGGAGATCCAAGTTTAGGAAGGAGAAACCAAAGTAAAACAGCATTTCACCAACAGGCTAAGAAGTATGAGAGGGACAGAAAAGGTTTTTTAAGGAGATAATGTATTATTTGGTGAGTCAAAGACAACATCCCACGGAAAAGGATACACAGCTACACACTGAAGAGGCATAAGGGACAAGGGAGGCCAGGCAAGTGTGAAACAGATGAGAGAAAATGTGCAAATGCACAAAACTGAGAGGAAGAGAGAACGCAACTGTCACAATTGTCAGTGTGACCACAGGAACGATCAACACTGAGTGGGACCCAGGCTCACACCTTTACAGCTGAAACCCTGTAAAGGTACATGCTTTCCTCCTGACATGCAATCAGATAAGGCCTAACAGTGGATCTTGGTTTCAAAGTATTGCACTTGAAGTGAAAAGTAGAGATCAATGACTTTTCCTAAAAACAAGCTTTAACATATCCCTATCTCGCAAAGTGTCAAATTGTAAAAATAAACACAAAAGAAAACCAAACAAGCTCCTTCACCTTCTTTGAGTGAATTTTCTATCAGGAAGCAGCTTTCGTCGGCTCGTCTCCCCGTCCTGGCAGTCTCCAACAGCCACGCGATGGTGACGGCTGGGAGGTTCCACTTCTTCGCCGCTTCATACTTGGAACCTCCCGGCTCTTTCAGTATCAGGTGCGTGCTGGCAAGCATGCCCTTCTTTGCGTTGGATTTCCGAACGAAGTACTCTTGCACACTGAAGTGGATATTTAAAGAAAAGGAAAGAGTCTTACACACAACAAACGGAGCAGAAGTTTCTCATAAAACAGTGAGAAGACGTTATGCAAATAAAAATGTTCACTGATGTATTTCCTAATTAAGAGACTTCCCTGAATCCCTACTCTAGGATTAAGCCACACTGCTATAATTCAACTTTTTATAACGGCATAAGCAAAGAACCAGGCTTTCAAAGAACGGATGGAAAAGTTATGCCCACGGTGCTCTTTCCTCCCTCCCCAAGGGGCATGAACAATCAGGAATACAAAGAAAGTGTGTAACATGTGTCTTTTTAAAAAACTGTGATTGAAACCGAAGTTTACAGAAAGGTTGGATTTTCATTCATTTCTTGTTGCACGTTTGTATCTTTCTGTTGTTATGTGCCACTGAGTAGAAACCAACTCACAGCTGGTCCTGAAGGAAGTTCCATGCGCTGGAGAGTCCACAGGAGGAGACTGCTCACCTTTTTCCTGCACAGCACCTGATCCTTGGACTCGGAGCAGCTGGTGGATTTGAACCAACTGGCTGTGAGGTGGCAGCACAACTCTTACTACTAAGCCAACCAAGACACATAGTCATCACTTAGAAGCCAAGGGGGATTGATTCTAAGACTTCCCTCAGGTAGGCAAATTCTCAGAAGCTCCTCTCTCTGTTTTTTAATTTTATTATTTCTTATGTGTGCACCATCAAATCGGACCCAACTGGTACAAGAAGAGACTGCCTCTCCTTCTCCAGTGGGGCATCTGGTAGATTTGAACCGTGTACTTTTGGCACAGAAGAGACTGCCTCTCCTTCTCCAGCAGAACATCTGGTGGATTTGAACTGCGTACCTCTGGGATTGTAGTGCAGCTTCTTCCCACTAGGCCACCAGAGCTCCGTAGAAGCTCCTCTCTTACCTAAAATGGTGCATTTGCATATAAACCTATGCACATGCTCTAGATACTAAACACTCATCTCTTGATTACTCTAGATTATGATGTAAATGTTAAATAAATAGCACTATGTGCTGCCTATTACTTGACCTCTGAGGAACTGCACCCCTCTTCCCGATCCTGATATCCTCATGGACTGGTTGGCACAGCCCATAGGGGGATGTGCTGCTGCCCAAGGTGATGGCCCTGGTGCTTCAACTCTACCTGCAGTGGGTTCTAGGAGAGAAAGAGGGGCAAGCTCCTTGAGATTCCCAGGCCCTGGAAACTTCCTAGAGGGCTGGTCAACTAGGAGGTGGTTTTGACTCGATGGCAGTTAAGTCAAACTGAAATGACTGAATTGAAGCTGGTTGAATCCTGGGGCATGGAACCTACAGATACGAAGGGCCAAGTGAAATCTCATTTAGTCCTCTCAGTATTTAAGAATTATGCATTTATAAAGATAAAGGGAAAGAGAGATTAAATGACTTGCTCTCAAGCTCATCATCTATTAAACTCAGAATAAAGGAAGTTGTTAAATAAATGAAGTAGTTAAGGTAAGGATCCAAAGGCTGGCAGTTTGAATCCATGGGCTGCTCTACAGGAAAAAACCTGCCTTCCAGAGCGGTTGTTCCTTTTTACAGTCCCACCAGCAGTGTATAGGAGTTCCTATCTCTCCGCAACATCGCCAACATTTACTGCATGCTGTCCTGTTAAACTCTGCCGCTACTACTGGGGTGAGGATTGAGTTTTGCTCTACAGTCTCATTTAAGTCTTGAGAAAACACTGAAGTATTTTTCATTACTTCTGCTTTACATCTGAACTTCTGCCTGAATACCGTAGAAACAGTGAACATAAACAAGAAATCATTCACATGACACATGGAAGGGAATGATAATTATACAAATGACAGTCAGGATGGCTCATGATTCAGCATTAAACATTCCTTTTGTGGCTGGGGAAAGCTGTTCAACATTGATGCACAGAGTGCTAACATGCTACCGGGAGGACCTGGAAGTATCCGCCACTTCTGCCACCATGAACCATCACACAGCTATACCACGCCTTTAAATACTGGGGGCTCTGGGAGCCTCGGGAAGGTGCTGCACCACTAATCCAAAGATACACTACATCCAAAGGTCGGACACCACTAAATACTCCGTGGGAAAAAGAGGAAATCTACTCCCGTGTAATTTACTGTCTCTGAAAATCCGCTTAGGGGGTCGGCTATGGGTCAGCTCCACCACAGCACAACAACAACTTTAAATTTAATAAAGACAACAGTCAAATTAGAATTTAGAAATCAAAAGTACACCATAAGAGCAGAGAGGGAGCTCTGGTGGTCCCACAGGGAAGAAGTATATTAACGGTGTTAGAGCGCGCTCTTACCAGCCATGTATGTGGACCACCTTCTCCCACCGTGGCTCCCACTTCACAGCCCAGCAGCGGAACCACCGCATAATCAACAACAGTTCTGCTCTGAAGGCATACAATTTTCCCAGCACTTGCTCTGAGGATGTTTCCAATATTATATTCATTTTCATCAAGAAAATCCAAATCAAAAAAACCAAAGGCACGTGGTTTGAATCCACTGTCTTCTCTGTGGAAGAAGGATGGGCAATCTCTCTTCATATGCTATTTACAACTTCTAAAAACCTGCTGGAGTGACAGCTACGTGCTGATTATGCCTCAAAGACACATGACAAATCAGCTCAAATATGACATACCTTGCTCCAAGGCGATTGGCTAAGAATGTCAAGGAATCTTTTTCTGCTCCAACACACTGGCTAAATGAAAGAACACAATCTTCTAACGGGGTGGCTCCGGGCATCACAGGTACCGGGGTGAAGAGAGGATTTGACTGTGGATCACATAGAGTCTGGTAGTCTATACAGGTAACCTTCAAAAGCAAGAGAAGCATAAAGGCAACTTAAAAAAGGCAAAATGACACACTGTTCAGTTACAGTAACAGTTAAGTTTCAATTTTGATAAAGAACAACTTTAACTTTGTATATGTATATTCTGAATGTATTTCAAACTATAATATCAAAATAAGTATGTATTCAGTGTTAAAACACAAAAATAATTATGACTTAATATTGATTCAACATTAGTTTTTAAATTAATTTTAGGGAAGCAATGTATTTTAAAAAACCTTCAAACCTTGGGGACCTGAGAAGACAGATTAAGGGATTGCATAGTCCAACGGTGATTAATTTTACAAAACACAATGTATAGCAAACATCAAATGCTGGCAAGGTTGTGGAGAAAATGGAACTGTTGGTGGGAGTGTAAAATGGTGCAACCACCATGGAAGACTGTATGGCGTTTTCTCAAAAAGTTGGAAATAGAAATACCATATGACCCAGCAATTCCACTACTGGGGGGAATATGCCCTAAAGAAACCAGAACTGCCACCTAAGCAGATATATGCACACTCATGTTTACTGCTGCTCTGTTCACAACAGTAAAGAACTGGAAACAACCCAAGTGCCCATCAACAAATGAATGGACAGAGAAGCTGTGGTATATTCACAAAATGGAATACTATGAAGCACTGAAAAACAAGGAACTCATGCAATATTATACAAAATGGGGACATTATGCCGAGTGAAATATCTCAGTGAAAAAGGACAAATACTGCATGGGGCCACTGTTGTAAAGCGGGACTGACATTGGGTTGGGGGGAGACTGAGAAAGATGGGATAAATAATGTACAATGCATTGAAACAGATGGAGAGAACTGTTTATGAGGAATATATGATTAGGTATTATTTTTATGACAAGATTCCAGAAAAAGAAAAGCATAGTAAAGTGAACTTTGGACTTGGTGGGGAGGGGGCGGCAGGGGATTGTATAACAATGAAATAATTTTTTTTCCTTTTCAAAGAGAAAAGTGAACAGAGGAGGGGAGGGCAGGGAAGAAAATGTGCAACAATGAATGAATGAGGAAAAAAATTAAATGGGAAGAATATGCTGTAAAAAAGGGGAAAAATATATATTGAGTATTACATATACTATGAATGATATTGTTCAACAAAAAGAGGGGGGAAAAGGAAAAAAAAACAACCCCCCAAAAAGAAAACCCATAATGTGAAATACAGACAAATAAAAACCCTTCACCAGGATATGAATGAAGCACAATGTGTATGAATATATATAAAAAACCAAACAAAATAAAAATCCCTCAAACACGTGTCTGCTGGATTAGAACCAATTCAGCCCTCTATTATTTGGATATCCAACGGTGTAAGCCGCATGGGAGAGAACTGCCCATTTCTTTCCCCAGGGCACCTGGTATATTTGAATCACCAAAGGGAACGTTGAGTGAGGAGTGCAACTCCCTACAGACTACCCCCACCCAGAGCCATTGTGCTCGTTTTCAAATCCACCCCCCACCCTGTTTTTCAGGCTTATCGACAAACAAGAGTCAAACTACCAGTGATAAGTTGAGGAAGAGATACTTCCAAAGAGGGAAGAGTAAAAGAACTAATCTTCTGAGAAATGTTGTTGCTGTTACCCAGGGGAACAATAATCTCCATTCTACCAGAATGAATACAAAGATGGCTATATAGAAGTCGTATTTTAGAATTTCCGATGCTAAAAACAAGATCCATACTGTGCCCAAACCCAGGCACCAAACCATCCAACTTGAAATGCCCAAGAATAAGCAGCAACACTTTGGCCCTTTGGGTAGCCAGATACCCTTCAACAATGTATTCAAACAGTGTCTTCTTACCAGCCATGTATTTGTAACAACTTCTCCCACGGTGGCTCCCACTTCACAGCCCAGCAGAGGAACCACTGCATAATCAGCCACAGTCCGGCTCTGGAGGGATACAATTTTCCCGGCATTTTCTCTTATGATGTTTCCAATATTAAATTCATTTTCATTACTAAAACCCAAAACGAGGAAACTCTTTTGGCTGAATAAACCTTCTTCAGTAACTGTAGAAGCGTCACAATGATTGACAAGTGTCTGGTTAGGGTTTTCTTCTTGCAGAGAAATATGAGTAGAGTCAGTGAAGGAGTCAGCATGAGGAGACCTATTCAAGGGTTCAGCTTTAGACTTCTTAGGTTCAACTGGAAGAAGGAGAAAAAAAAATCCTAGTAAGACACACTTTACAGTGTTTATTTCTTAGCAAGGATAGTACTGTACTTTTAACTCTGTGGCAAATTAGGCCACAGTTTAAAATCCAGTACAAAATGAAGAAAAAAAATGTGAACCCAATAACTACCCAGGTTGGCCTAAGTACAAAAGAATTGAGAAAGCACCATTAAAGAATAACAGAAGTACCAAGGGAAGCAGTACAAGTGTCAGGCCCGAATCAAGCCCTGAAACAACTGAGGCAATTCACCAGCTGCTTCATGAGGAAAACAAGGCAGCTCCTCCAATGACGATGTAGAGTAACCTCAGAAACTCAATGGAGAGTCCCTGGGTCAGAATCCTATTTTTAAGGCCACACTGTTGCCAAGTATCGGAAGAGAGGGAAAAAAAAAGAAACCAAAGCCTGTCTGTCTCCAAAGTCCATAGGGGTATCTTCTTAGTTCTAGTATCATCTCCAACAGAAATCAACGTTTTTAGCTTTAGACTACTGGAAACGTAAAAGACTTACACTTGATATGAATACTCAAGAGTACAGCTTTTACAAAAACACTCTGAGGAAGCAGAGGTTTTGTGTAGAGCATTGACTGTTAAGTAATTCAAGAGAGGGGGGGTCCTTGGCTTTCAATTTCTTACTGTAAGGCACAGTTGTATATTTACAAATTACAGACACACTATAAGAATGAGCATGCTTAGATGAAAAATGATGTGATACTAAAAATCATATTTCATTTGTTTTTTAATATTCTCTGAATAAAACGTAAAATACAAACAACTCTCCCACTATTTTGCAATTACACTTGTTCAAGTGTAATCAAGTCGTAGCTGTTCCTCCAGCATGTTTTCAGAGGCTGTGAACTGCCTAAGAGGAGAAGGCCCTCCTTCTCCCTTGGAGCAACCAACCGGCGGAACTGAAATGCTTGCCTTTGGGTTGGCAGCACAATTCCTTATCCACTAGGCCACCAAAGCTCCCCAAAACACAAAGAAAACTCACATTATTTTGCAGTTAAACTTAGAAGGGGAACATCCAATTTTACTTAATGATTACGTCAACATTGGTGTGTCAAATGTCATAGTGGTTACCCATGGTGGACAGTGTTTGTTGGAGCTCCCAGACTAAGACAGGCGTGGAAGCAGGAGTGGCATCCACTTCCCAAACCACAGACAATAGTGATAGAACAGAGTTCAGGTCTTTCATTCATAGGGTCCTTATACTTGACTTGACGGCACTTAACAACAACAATAACAATGACTTGAAAGGGAGTTCTGGCAGCTAAGAGGTAAACATCTGCTGCCAATGCAAAGGTTTGTGGTTCAAATCTACCATCTGCTCTGCGGGAGAAAGATGGGCAATCTCCTCCCAGGTGATTTACAGTCTGAAAACCTGCTGGAAGGTCAGCTATGGGTCAGTTCTAACTCGATGATACACAACAACAACAATAATCTAAAACAATATGGATGCTAGTGGTAAGATAAAAAATGAAAGAAAAACCTAGATAACCAAATCATGTAAGCTAACAACCATATTAATGTGTGTAAACGTGTGTGTGTGTGTGTGTGTGTGTGTGTGTGTGTGTGTGTGTTACGGTGGTGAATGGCAACCGAAGACAAAGGGCTTAGATTTTTGTGTTCGTAAGAGGAAGATTAAGATACCAATTACCTTTAGGTTTTTCTAATGTACATTAAAGCTCAAAAATAAATTCGTTCACATAGCTTACAAACTTACAGAAGGAAAGATTTGGAGGTAGGGGTCAAGCCATGAAAAATCTATGCAAATGGCAAAAAGACTGGGGGGGATAAATGACCCAAATCAGACAGACAGAGCTGTAATAATATTATAAAATACAGATTTTAAGTGGAATGCTCATTAGGAAAATGAGGATCATCATATAATAAACTTTAAAATTGAACCTGGCAGAACTATAATGGAGAAAGTGACAGAACCCTCCCTAGAGTGGGAGCTCTGGTGGCTCAGTGGTAAAAAGCTGTACTGCAAACCTGAAGACAGGCAGTTCAAATCCACTAGCTGTTCAGTGGAAAAAAGATGGGCAGTCTCCCCTCATGTAATTTACTGTCTCTAAAAACCTGCTGGAGGGCCAGCTACAGTCGTTTCTGACTCGATGGTATACAACAGTAATATGGACAACATGATAAGGTCCTCATTATGGGGAAGGAATTACTAATCCCCAGTTCAAGAGGACAAAAAGTGATCTCTTATACATACAAAACTCCCAGAAAATCAGACAGCACATTTTTCTCAAGCACAAAAGAATATTAATGACAGCCATCTCCTAATATCTAAAGTTAAGTCTAACAGCTATCTAGTATCCACATATCTAATAGACCAAAAAAAAAGAGAACAAAATTAGGCCATATTTAGGATTAAGCAATCACAATAATGCTACCCCCCTGTGAAATACAACTCATCTAGTACTTTCAGGGAAATATACAGACAGAAACAATTAGAGAAGTAAAAGACTACAAAAGAAATTAATGAGGAAAAAAAAGAAACTAACGGACTAACAAATTTTTTAAAAAAATCAAATGCTTATGTGATTCCAAAGTCAAACACAAATTAAACAGTGCTTAAATACAAAATGAAGCAGATTGGTTGAAGAGCAGAGGGTATCAGAGGGTTCAGAAAAAAGTTAAAAAACACAATTTTAAAGGAATGAAACCTTTCCTTTTTCACAAATAATGCATACATTATGCATTTCTGCAAACTGTACAACTGCTTTGTACATGAGTTCTTCTATGTGCACTGTTTCTATGGGCACAATATATGCAGAAAGTAGTTTATAAAACGTGGCACAAATCATACATGTGCATTATTGACTCTCAGAGCCTTTTCCTGTAACTGAAGACGAGAACCTGTCCTTTCTTACCCAGCGTCGAGTCGTTGTTTACATACTGGGAGAGCAGATCTTCATCAGCCCCCTCGTGTCTGTCACTGGGCATAAAGTCTTGCTTGGAGAAGCTGCCGCTATTCTTTTTTAAAACAGCTGCTTTATTTCCGGGTTGATCTGAAACTGGCATTTCCACCGGCCGGTAGTTGGCATGAATAAACGGCTCTTCAGGAAGCATGTATCCTTTATTAAAACACTCCAGCAACCATTTTGCTCCCATGACGTGAGGCCTATGGAAACAGTACCTAGCTACAGGTTAGTCTGAGCTGCAAAACCTACCATCCCACCGGCCATGCAGTTTCAGAATTGTGTGAACGCGCAACTTTAAATCACTGGACAGTAGAAATGACTTAAATGGACACAAACCTGTGGGTTGACTTATTCCAAAACTGCTTCAGTTCATCATCATAATCTCCCACAATGACGTGAGTTACGTCTTCAGTGAGCTGATTGAAACGAACTCCACCACCGTTATTAATGAGCCGCCTCAGCTTATCTAGTTTTCTGCCACTAAAACCGCAAAGGTATATCTGCAAAGAAAGAAATGGTTTACCTTCAGACAGAGACATCTAAGATGGTTTATTTCATTTAATAATTGCACACGTTTCCCAAGTGTCGCTAAATGAAGGTTGCTTCTTCAAATGTGACAGTCAAATTAATTGAAAATTACAAAGTAACTACAAATATTCTGCAGTTAACAAATTCCAACAACTTAAATACTGGCTCAGATATTAATGGGTCGCCATATAACCACAAGAAAACGACTTAACTGTTTTCTTGCATTTAAACAAATTTAAGCAAGAAACCTTGTCATTCCGTTTTACAAAGCTATCTTTAGATATATTTTATAAGAACAAAAAACCCCCTATTCCCATCTGCAAATATATTCCAAACTAAACATGTCAAATGCTAGAATATATTTTAATAGAAGTTAACAATCACATACTTCATGTAAAAGAGAAAGAATAATTAGACGCTACATCCAGAATTAGTACGGCCAAGGAAAGAAGATTCAGCAAGGCACTTTGTGTTGTGATTAAGTGATCAGTTTACAAAGTATAAAATGGTCAGATTATTTGCCCAATAATCCCCTTTGTTAATAATAAAATAGGGTTAAATATTAGTTATTCTTAACTTACTAATTAATATTACGTGCTGATTATGAAAATCAAATCGAATAAAAAAGTCCAGCATATTTCCATTAAGAAATTTGTTTAAGTTACTCTTTTTCTTGGATTTTATTTTGCATTGAGATTGTTATTAATATACAAAACAATGAAGCAACCCAAGAGATAGTAAACAAAACAGCTAATGGTTAGGAGTACACACTTTGAAGGAACACTTGTTTTGGAGTAACACCTGAGTAACCTGAACAAGAATGTTATTCCTCTAAGTTTCAGCCTTAGAATAATATTCAGTTCAAAGTTACTTGTGTGAGTAATGAGATTAAATATAAATTAAATATCAATGACCATCACAGTATATAGCATACTGTGGGTATTTTACAAATGACCATTAAAAAGAAGTAAAAGTCCAGTGATTGGAGCAGAAACCAAGTGCTCTTCCTGTACAGTATAAGGAAATGTTGATGGAGGTGACAGGATTCACAAAGAAGAGGAAAAGAAAAATAGACTTTGAAGGACACAGATGAAAATCACATCTCAGGCTGAACAGGAATGTGTGGGCAAATGAGACCCTGCCCATGTTCACACAGGGTTAGCAGATGGCACGTCTATCTGTATATCTGTATGTGCTGTAAACAGACCCATGTATACGGAAGGCCAAATTATGAGAACTTCTTTCATAGCCGTAACCAAACATTTTAAGGGGATGAGTTACCGCTGGGGCTGGATGTTAGGACCTTAGTCATGGGGGACATCAAAGACAATGTTCCACATCCCACTTTGGTGAGGAGCAATTGAGATCTCAGAAGACTGTGGGTGGCCATCTAAGATTCTGCTGTGGACCTCCCCTCACCTGAAGCCACGAAGAGCGAAGAAAAGCAAACCCTCACCTGAAGCCACGAAGAGCGAAGAAAAGCAAAGACTGTTAGTCCAAAGGACCAACGACTATAGTCGTTCACAGCAACTTAGTCTCATGGCCTTAAAACTAGGAAACTAAGATGGTTGGTTTCTGTCTCCCACTGATGGCTGCTGACAGAGTGGGACAAAAAAATGTGGACTTAAACTAAGCATCAAAATAAAAGTAGGTTTACCTGTCTAATAGAAACTGGTGGAGTCCTGGAGAAAGGGCCATTAGTCACTCCACAAGCCTGGAACTCAAATCACTCATTTTCAGGCAAATAATGTTGTTGTTGTTGTGGGGTGCTGTCATGTACCACTCATAGCGCCCCTATGAGCAGCAGACCTGACCCCGGATGTACCCTGTGCCATCCTCATCACCTCGGGCACATCTCTTCCGCTCACTGCCTTAGAGTCACTGTGCCAATGCATCTCACTGACGGTCTTCCGCTCCTTCACTGGCCCTCCCGTCTTCCCAAGCATGACCCTGTTCTAAGGACTAAGTGACCGACAGCATCAAGAAGGTTAACTCCTTAGAATAACCCACGGCATTAAAATCAAAAGGACAGCCTTTGTCCAGAGAGAAAGCTCAGAGGGCAGAAAAGGATAAGGAAAAATGGAAGAGAAACAAGGACAAAGTGGGAAGAGTGAGAATGTGGGGATTAGAAGCAACGCCATGAAACATAATGTGCGTGAACTGAACAGAAAAACAACTCACTCTGTAAACTTTGACTCAATTCACAAGAAAAAGTACATTTCAAAAAAACCAAACATATATACTCTGGGCAAAGGGACCTTGCTGGTCAAAAAAATGTACATGGTCTACTGAGCACATCTGCTTAAGTTCATATAGCTAAGAGGCAAACCCCACTATGAAGAGTCTTCCGCATCAGGATACAAGGTGCAAATGTGCGCTATCGCTCACCACATTTACTATATAGCAAAGAGGGTATCACTCTCTTTATTTACCATAGAACAAAAACAGTACGTACCCGGCAGCCATCCAGTAAGTCTTCAGGGGCTTGAAATGCGCTGACATCCAGATTTTCTATATTTTCAACTGCAGTCTCCAACTTGTTATTAAGAACTGAAATACATGTGGATTCGTTTATGCAACTTGCATTGATGTTAGAAATATGGCTGACATCTGAAAGAGTACGACCTACGCAGTAAAAAGACAGAGATCTATGGAGATAAAAGAATCATGCTCTCTTATTTCCTTATAATTAAATTTTATTTCAAACGAAAGGCCTATGTAAAATTTTCTAAATAGTTCAGCTTTTATTGAAATGTTGGCAACATCTATGCAAAAGGAAAATGGGCTACCTCTTCCCGTGAGCAGCCTCACGTGATCTCCCAAAATAGTTTGCTATTCACTTGACCCAGGAAATCCCACAAAATCATGCAAATCAATAGGCTCAAATCTGTGTCCCTTTTAAGAACACCCAGGAAACTTCCCAGACCATCAAGGATGTGCATATCAGAAAGCCATCAAGTATCTGAAAGTTGTCACTTTGCAGAAGCACTGTGTGCCATTCTGAGGAAGCAATGGTGTTTGGTGTGTCCAAGCCAAACAGTGGGGCTGGACACAGGGTCGGTGGCCCAAGAAGAGTGCTGAGTTTTTGCTGCATATGCTTAAAAATGCCGAGAGTAATGCTCAACTTAAGGGTTAAGATGTCAACTCTCTAGTCATTGAGTACATCCAGGTAAACAAAACTCCCAAGATGCGCTGTCACACGTACAGAGCTCATGGTCAGATTAACCCCTCCATGAGCTCCCCCTGCCACACTGAGATGATTCTTACTGAAAAGGAAGTGTTCCTAACCAGAAGAGGAGGCTGCCCCGAAGAAAAAAATCTCAGAGAAGAAACAAACACGTTAAAAAAAAAAAAAAAAAAAGAAACAAACAAACAAACACGTATGGCTCAGGAGTAAACAATTCAATATCAAATAAAATTCAAATAACTTTTTTAAAAAAAAACCCACAGAACTATAAAGTGAGTTTACATCTAATGTAAATGAACGTGTATTTAATAAACTTTTGTAACCGTGTCTTAAGTCTTAACAAGAACCTCAAGCTGTTGACATCAGAGTCTAGAAAATTTACATTTGAAAACTTAACATGTTACGTAACATGGCACCTACAAAATAGACACTACTGAAAATTAAATATCAACAGAGATGACCTACAACAAATGAGGAAAATAAATACAGAAAATTGACACATCAAATTTAAAAAAAATTCTTTTCAGTCTCTATCCATTAATATTCTTAATTTCTTTGATCATCTCTTACATGAGAGTGTGAAAGGAAGCCATAATTTATTCTAAAAAGAAATTTTAAAAATTAGCTCAGGGTTAGGCTTTATACATATAGCTGTTTTATTACTGAATTAGGTACGAAAACAGAGCAAAACTGATCAAATCCCTACAGTATCTTAAAGACACATTAATTTCTAGAGAGAAAACAAGTCGTCTTAAACCTCCAATGAGACTTACGATCAAGCATGTTGGTCTGGCCCGTAGGCGTTGAAGTCTCAGGCACAGATACAGTTTCTGGCTTAGGCTTTATCTTGTACATAGATTCATCTTGACAAAAACCTTTCTCAACACTGTCAAAAAACCACCGAGGGCTCACACAGTGAACATTCCACTTCTTGGCACATTCATATTTCTGGCCTATAATAGCCATTAAGAAGTGAAAGAGAGTGAAGAAATAGAAAACAGACACTATTAACATAGACAAAAAGCAGACTGTCATCATCTTTTATGCTATAATCAAATTCTATACAGCCTTGAAAAAATTACCTGAAAGGAAACCAAAGTTATCAGCAAATACTGCTACTTCCCAAAAACATTCTCTATTCTGTATTCTTGTTCAAAACTCTGTTGTCAAGTCAGACCCAACTCAGAGGTGACCCATGAGCAGGTTTCTAAGGCTGTAAATTACACAGGAGGAAACTGCCCATCTTTCACCCAGGGAGCTGCTGGTGGATTTGAACCATCAGTGGCACAGCTTTCAGTCAGCACTTATCTACAGACTACACACCAGACGTCCCTATTCTCAAAAAACCCCAAACTCATTGTTGTTGAATCAAAATCAACTCATTCGTAGCTGACCCTCTAGTAGGTTTGTGGTGGCTCTCTATGTTAAGCACTGTCAGGGATATCCTAGGTTACTATTCCCCAGCCATACCGTCCACAGGAACCCTGGTGAGGTCTTGCTAACTGAAAAATCAGTGGCTTGTCCCAGGTGCTACCAGAGAGAAAGACGGACACTCTCTTCGCACTACTATGTTCAGCCTTGGAAACCAGCAAGGGGGTTACCATGAGCTGGAGTTACCTTGAAGGAGCAGGTTGGGTTTGTCACACTGTCTACGTGTTGTGTAGATTCACATGCTGTTTAAAGAAGCTTAGCTGGAGCGGCACCCACTTCCTAAACAACATGCCTATGGAAACGACGAACTTCGATAAATGACCAGAGTTACAGAAAGGCTTCAGGCCTTTTGTTCATATGAGTCATGCTCGACTCAACGGCAATCAACAACAACACAACATTACACAAATAGGGAGACAGAAGCACTGAAGAAGTGAAGGAGAGCTGAAAGGTAACGGAAATACTGGCTCACATACAGGCTCCGTCATTTAAATTCTTTAAACCCTAAGTACTTAGTAATTGTGGGGAAAAGTCTGCTTTGCTTTGGTTCTTTTTTTAAAAAAATTATAATAAACAATAAAAATGAAAATAAACTCAGATACAACACCTCTAAAATACCACATCAGACCAATATTGTAACAGAGGTAAAAGGTATTCTGGGAAGTATTTTTAAATGATAACTGCTGGAGAAACGTTTGCATTTGTCCATATAAAAATACAGCTGTACCTTTTGGTTCTTGTACAATGAGGTGTGTACACTCGTTCATTTTCAACTGTCCCATATACTGGCCCCCATGCTTCACTGTAAGCTGCTGAACTGCTTTCCTGTCGGAGCTACACAAGCCAGTCACACAAATGATACAACCAAGGAAAATTGGGCACTTGAAGTCATCCGAGTTTATATCAGTGTGCTTGATGATTTTTCTAGGAAAACAAATGGTAGGAAGAAACATCAATACGTTACCTAATAAAAAAGGTATCACTTACCATGAGAACAACAATGAATGAAGTTATGTAGGCTACATGAGCAAGTCACACAAATGACACAACCAAGGCAATTAAGACATTTGAAATCTATGTCCAATATTCTATATTTTCAGTACCTCTTCAGTGTACCTGTCCTTTACAGAGGGGGAGGAATTAAAAAACCCTCAACAACAAAAATAGTAGAGAGAAACATCAATAAATCACATAATATATACTAATTTACCAGAAAGGCAATACCACTATTGCTTTCTTTTTTAGGATTTATAACAAATTTTTCTTTAAGGAAAGGTGTGCTGATGAACACACAGTTTTATAAACAAATTGCTCACGGAACCCCCCGTATCACATTACTAGTATATAGTTTCAAGTGTAGTTTCTCAAATAATATTACTTGTTCTCCCAGATCGGTAATAAAGTGCTTATGGATACTGTAAAGAAAAAAACAAAGAAACCTACCTTAAAAGAGAAAGGCCTATTTCATTAATTCTAAATGAATAATAAATATGACTGGTCAAAGTGATGCTGTTTCAAAATGCAAAGTCTGAATCCCAAAGGCTTTAGTCTTTGTTTATTTGGGTCACCCCCTAAAATGATGAGTATTTTAGAATTCTAGTGCCCCACATAGGGAGCTCAATGGCTTAGTCAACAGGGCTAACCCAAGGAACGAGGATAGAGAACTTCCTCCTCCACAGTCACAACCTCCCAGGAATGTGCTGGAGGGTCAGCTAGGACTGGTTCTGATTTGACAGTTATGAGCTGAGCTTTTTATGTAAGTCATAAACAATGATCTTTGGCAGAATAGCAACAGAAGTACCTTACTGCCATGCTATGCAGATGTACCAGTGAAGTCATAATGAAGGAAACAAATGCTAACGGAGTTAGGCTGGGATTAACGAACAGGAAGATAGGTTTGGAAAATGCTGGGCAGTGGTAAAAGCAAGCCAAGACACTTATTAAACTGTGGTACCTGGACTTAACTGTTATGTTGAAGCTCTGGTGGCAGAGTGGTAAGGGGGTGCACTGTCCACTCAAAGGCACACGGTTTAAAAATACCAGCTGCTTCAAGTGACAAAAATGGGCAATCTCCTTCTGTGTGATTCACTGCCTCAGAAAACCCACTGGAGGGTCAGCTATGGGTTGGTTCTGACTCGATGGTACAAATCAACAATAATTTAAATGCAGGGGACACTTAATTCTGTCCCTTAAAATAAGCTCTTAGGCTCCACCAGGACAAGGATGATGTGGTATTTGGCTCAGTATGTACTAGAGTTATATCTAAAGTCCAGCTCCAGTCATATACCTGAAATGGACTCAACATTTATTGAGTGATCACTTCTCAAGCTGACGGCTCACATACTTATAATCAACCTTAGATATGCCCTGGTGGGAGAGAATTTGACTGTGAAAATGGTTCATTCAGTCTCCATCTTAACATTTGGGCACAGTATTGAAGGATAATGCAATATAAGAAAAAGCTTAATTTTCACACCCATGTTTATCACAGCTTTGTTCACAATAACAAAGAGTCGGAGACAACTTAAGTACCCATCAACAAACAAATGGATAGAGACGCTGTGGTAATGCACAATGGAATGCTATGCTGCATTGGAAAACAAGGAACTCATAAAATATCATTCCAAATGGGTGACCCTGGAGGACATTATGCTGAGTGAAATATCTCAGTCACAAAAGGACAAATACTGCATAGTGCCACTGCTATAAAATGGGACTGACATCAGGGTTGGGGGCAGACTGAGAAAGACGGGATAAATTATGCATACTGCATTGAAACAGACGAGGGAAAGAACTATTTAAAAGGGATATATGATTAGGCATTATTGTCATGACAGGAGTCCAGAGGAAGGCTGCATAGTGGAGTGGACTTGAGGGGACGGACTGCATAACAATCAAAGAATTTTTCTTTTACTTTTCAAAGAGAAGAGAGAACTGGGATGGAGGGGTGGGCAGGGAGAAAAGTGCAACAATGAATTAATGGAAATCCAAAGTCTCTGTAAATTTTCATTAAAATTAATAAAATTAAGTAGAGACTCTTTTTTTAAAAAAGAAAAAGCTTAATTTTTGTTTTTCTCACTATTTTAAAAATAATTAATGACAACAATGAACCCTTCCTTTGTAAAAGTCAGAATACGCCAAAATGACTGAGCAGGTCATTTATTTCAAATCTAAGAAATATCTAAACGTTTTTCTTACTTTTCTTGTGACTTCTCCCAAAGAGTTGTGACCCAAGAAGGAAGCAAAATAGGCTTCTTTAGGTTTGCAGCAACTAAGTATTTTTTGCTACCGACTTCTCCGGCAATCAGGTGAGTCACCGATACATGAAGGTCTTTATACACTCGTCCACCCATCAGCAGCACATATTTATAAACTTCTTCCTGGGGGCACCCACATGAAACACGTTGTTAAAGAAAAAAAAAAGCTTTCATTTTAGTCTACAATGTCAAAGATACCTTTTGTTCTTAGCTTAAACATACAAATGTTTCTCATCACTATAAAGTAGTTCATGGAAGATGGATATGAATTTCAAATAAGTTGAAAAATATCTTTACACATTCATCCCTTTCAACTCTGACTGTACTAACTTCTTTGCTTTTATAATAAACGTTTTTCCCCTCATTTTTGTGTGTGTGTGTGCGTGCGTGTCCCATCAAATCGGATCTGACTTGTACAGGAGATTGTCCCTCCTTCTCCAGCAGAGCATCTGGTGGATTCGAACTGCACACCTCTGCGACTACAGTGCAGCTTCCTGCCACTAGGCCACCAGAGCTCCCTTATAATAAACATTTTTATATTACATACACACATTTATTTAATTTTTTACAAAAAAATAATTTATTTTTCTGAACTTTATTATATACATCAGAGTTTTCCAATCAGCTAAAATTCCCTTCAATAAATATTTTTGCAACATTTTGTAAATGCATTTCAACACCACACATAATAATTTTACAAACTTTCATGTATTATGGTACCAAACAAATAATTTAAGCTTAGCTTTATCAAACAATTTTAAGTGGAAGAGAACATAATTAGGGGGGCTGGCATAATTAGCATAAGCAAGAAAATCAAGCATTTTAGGAAGAAAAAAATTTCCAAATAGCAACTGATTCTTTCTTTACAATTTTTACAAACACATGATTAAATAAACACCCATTTCATCTTCACAAAATAGAGCTAAAGAGGGAACATTACAGTTATCGGCGCCTTTCACTACCACTTCTAGTCTGCTGAATCTATTATCATTTCTAGTCTACTGAATCAGTTCTTCTGAATTTATGAGTTTACATAGCACTGAAAAATATTCTAGCCAACCAGGCAGTATCGTTAGGTCATGAGGTTATATCACTGATAGAGTAAACAATAAATTGAATGCCTGCTTTTTCTTTCATTCAACGCTGATTCTATTTTTGGAGGATAACTTCTACGTCTGCGCCGATTACTGTGTCAGCAATATGCATGATGTTTGACAACGTACAGTGTCATCCTTCATGCCACGAAGCAAACGTCTAGGGCAGTTCACAGGAACAAGCAATGATGTTCTGCTTCTCAAATAAAACTGAATGGAATATGAGGCATTTCTTCACTAGATCCTGAGGCTATCACCTACTGTTTCATTTGTCTTTCCTTTTCTGCCTCAAAAGAAAGCTGATTAAACTGTGTCACTGTACTTTTGTGTGTGTGTGTGTGTGTGTGTGTGTGCGTGCGTGTACCGTCAAATCAGATCTGACTGGTACAGGAGGAGATTGTCCCTCCTTCCCCGGCAGAGCATCTGGTGGATTCGAACCGTGCACCTCTGGGATTGTAGTTGCAGCTTCTTGCCACTAGGCCACCAGAGCTCCCCTGTCACTGTACTTTGTTCTTGCAGCTGTACCAACCGTGCAATGATTCCATCCTCCTAGCTAGATCCAGCCAGGATCTGTGGAGCATCGGCTAAGCCATCAATCTTAGAACATCTTTTCTCCATTTCCCCAGGGTATAGTCTCTTAAGATACCATCTGAATTTCCAATTCCTGAGACATCAACCTTTACGCAGGCTTGACCTACAGATTTACAAAACTCTTCAACTGCCAGTGCGTATGTACCATTTGTGTCAGAACAAAAGCCAGGGATGAAGATACCTCCTGGGTTTCTGCCATTTAGATTCTTCTCAGGCAAGATTGGAAGGTCTGGTTGTTTAAGGGAGTGATGTCTTCTGTCTGCAGCCTGGAAGCCACTGTGACACCTGCTCTGCGTTCTGTGTAGGTAAGGTGTGGAGGCTGTGGTGAAGACCCAAAGAAGTGGCCGTCGAGCACCAGGTATGGCAAGGAACCCAAGTGGCTAACAGCAGTTGTGCCCAGACCTGCCACCTTCTCAGCGGTGTCCCTGAATAAACATATTTAAAATAAAGAGTTGTGCTGCCAACTCAAAGGTAGGCATTTTGAATCCACAAGCTACTCCAAGGAAGAAAGATGGGAAATCTCTTCCCTTGTGATTTTGAGTCTCCAAAACCCCACTGGAGGGTCAGCAGCGAGTCAATTCCAACTCAGCAATGAGTAAGTGACTGATGCCTTGCTCAGATGTTTTTTTGTTTTTTTTAAAAAAGACTGTCCATCTTTAGGGCAAATAGATGAAGTAATCAAAAAATAAGCTCATGGACTCTGTGGGGAAGCTATGTTCCCTTTTAATCAACCTCTGTTCAAGGCATCAGCTGCTCCAAAGGAGAAAGACCATCTCCCTGTGTGATTCACAGCCTCTGAAAACCTGTTGGGGGATCTGGTAAGAGCTGATTCTGATTTAGTAGCAATGAGTTACACGGCTTTCAACCAAAGCAAAAGATGCTGAATTAGTCTTAGTTTTCAATCCTGTTTTCCAAACCTGATAAACATGCCTGTGACAGAAAGTCTTTGTTATAATACATGAACATGCAGTACAAGGTCTTTTCAAGTGTCTCTGACACAGTGGAAAAGTCCATAATGGAAACCTATGCATACTCGTCATGCTATTCCTCTCGGCCACGTACCCGCTTTTCCTTCTCAAGGCTCGTACAAGATATGGTTACATCACACATAACCATGTTGTAAACAGGATGCTCGGCTCTGGGGACATACTGCTGGTGGTGCATACAGTAAGTAACTACTTGTGGACCAACAATTCTGCACGCAAGCTACCAAAACAGAAAGACAAAGTGTCAGTAAGTCAAAAGACACAACCTGTCTAATAACACTGTATTTTACAATATTTATCAATTCTTTGTACAATATGTATCTGTAATTTATAGAAGGTGATCATCAATGCAGAAAAAAAATTCACTAAATTGCTGAGGAAAAAAAATACACTTTATAATTATTCAGAAACACTATGTATTAAACACACATATACTCTCTCTCCAAACCAAAGCAAATTGAATACAAAATACAAATTATTAAAAGAAGAGCTCGAGGAGGAGTCCTCACTCAAAACCTCCATCAAAGTTTTAATCTGTGTAACAGTAAGTTTTTAAAGATAGCAACAACAGTCTTAAGCTAGAACAATTAGGAACCATACTTCACAAACGAAGCACCCAGCAAAGAAAGTATTTATAAGCATGAGTGTCTGTAAGTACTTCCTCAACAAAATTTTTGTAAAAATAATTTTAAAATGCAGACATTTTTAGTGCCGGCTGGGTTGTTTTTGCGCATGGCAAGCACGAGGCGTACATCATTTTCTTTAAATTTTTTTTTAATTTTTATTATTTGTGTGTGCATGTACCATCAAATCAGATCTGACTGGTACAGGAGGAGATTGTCCGTCCCTCCTTTCCCGGCAGAGCGTCTGGTGGATTTGAACCATGAGCCTCTGGGACTGCAGTGCAGCTTCTTGCCACTAGGCCACCAGAGCTCCCCTGTAGATCATTTTCTTAAATGCACTACAGTAAGAACCTTTTTCTGAGGGTAAAATAGTAATGACAGATTTATTAGAAAGTTACACCTCCAAAGGGACGGACCTCCCTCCTTGAAAGGAGATTCCGAGAGAGAGGCCTAGATTCATAACTTTTTATGTTGCTCACTTCCATTTCATTTGTCCCTCACACTGTCCAAAAGGGAGATAGCAGTCTTTGTCTTGGTAACTGGTGACTCAAGTTTTGGTTCCACTCAGCAGACCTTGACCAGCCAGCCCACGCTGGAGTCTCCAAAGCAGCTCCAAACCCCAGAAAGATTCTTGCTCAACTTGGTAAACCACTTTCTCCAAAGCTGGAAGACACTGCTTTAATCCTTCCTGGAAACAGCTCTCACGACAGAAGCCGTTCCCATCCGGGAGGTGTGTGTGGGTAAGTCCAGGCGGGTGCGTGTAGGTCAGTCCCAGAGGTGTGCAGTCTCCAGGTCCTGCGCTGGACAGGCTAGCCAGGCAGCTGAGGCCTACACTTTGCAGCCACGTGTATTCTGTCTAAGTGCTTACCAGTCTGTGCCAGGGAATCTGGAAGACAGCTGCCTGGTGCAGAAATTATTGAACTATATCATTAACATCACATGCAAGTAAAATCGTGCTGAAGATCATTTATAAGTGGTGGAAATAGCATATTAACAAAGAAATGACAGAAATTTAAGGGGGATTTAGAAGAGGTCGTGGCACCAGGGAAATCACTGTTGATGTCAGATGGATCCTGGTTGTAAGTCGAAAATACCAGAATGTCTTTTTTTTTTTATTATTGATTATGCAAAGGCATCTGACTGTATGGATCATAACAAATTGTGGCTGACATCCAAAAACATTTAGTTGTGCTCATGCAAAACCTATACCTAGACTAGGAAGTTACTGTTCAAACAGAACAGAATACTGCATAGTTTAAAATCAAGGTATGTGTGCATCAGGGCTGTGTCCTTTTCTCCGTACCTTTCAATCTACATGCTGAGCACATCATTTGAGAAGCTGGTCTTTATGAGGACCTGAGACATTTATTGTAGAAGACTACAGCCTATGTAATAAGGATTACATCACAATGTCAAGAAAACAAAAATCCTTATCAATGAGCCAATAGCCAATACCATAAAAGATGCAGAGAAGATCCAAGTGGTTAATAATTTCATGTTGCTTGGATCCCTCATCAATACTGTTGGCCACAGCAGTCAAAAAAAATCAAAAGACTTGCTGCACTGGGAAAATCCACTGTTAAGGACCTCTCCAAGGTACTGAGGAGCAACAATGTGAGTTCACAGACTAGGGTGGATTTAAGCCAGGGCCTTTTTTTTTTAAGCCATGGCCTTTTCAATTACTTGCTATGTATCGTAAAGCTGGACAATGATGAAGGATGAGAGAATTATCAATGTCTTTGAACTGCGCTGTTGGAGAAGAGTATTGAATATGTCATTGATTCCCAAAAGGACAAACAAATACGTCCTGGAGAAGGAGCCGTCAGGACAGATGATGGTACTTCATCTCACCTACTCTGGGTATGCTTTTAGGCGGGGCCAGTCATGCTTGGTAAGGAGAAGAGTCAGCGAGAGAGAGGAAGATCCTCAACCAGATGGACTGACAGTTTATTAGGGACGAAGAGGACGGCACAGAGTCCAGGTCTGCTGCTCATAGTTGCTATGATGTGTACTGGACTCAATGGGACCTAACAACAACCACCACCATCACTCAGCTGGCTGGTTGCCTGGTCCTGTAAGAATCTCCCAACACAGACACTACACGGTAAGACACTACAGTGACAGCCAAAGGCACAGAGGGGCTGTACATGCCTGACTCAGATGAGAGGGCTCTAACTGGCTTCTGCAAGAGCAGACGTACTTCCACACCTTCTTGCTCCCTAGCCTCACTGGAGCACGAGGTCAGCCAGTGTCAGGGCTGTGGCAGCCCACGTGCAACCCTCTGTCAACCGCTGCAACGGCACAACTGGGTGCCGATCAGCTACACGGAGCTGCACGACCCTGAGGCCCAGGCATGAACTACCCCAGAGCAAAGGCACAGGCTCAACTGTTTACTCTGTGATTACTCAGGTACTATCGAGCTCAACCCATGATGTCCTGATCATGGCTCTTATCTTATTTATCACTTATACGGGTGCACGGTTGGTAAAAAATGAAAACCAAAACAAATCTATATAATCCTACACAGTTTCTGTACTGGAGTTTTAAGTACCTATGTTTTCCCAAGAAAAACCTACCATGATTTCTCCTAAGATATTACAGGTTTAATAGGAGGGACTTAAAAAAACCCCAAAAACCTGGTTATGTGGCTGTTTTGCTCAACATCAGCAAACTCAAAAGCAGCCTACAGTTATCACTGACTGATCTAAATATCTAGGGGGGGGGACACACATGATTTACCCCCGTTTTGTAGATCAGTCATGAGAACAATAAGCTCTCTATGTGATCTATTCTTTCAGCTAGGCAGCAGCATTTCCCAGGGGAGGCTAAGGCCAATGATGGCTTTGGTCAAGGTGGGCAGAGATTTCACAGGTTGTTATACAGACACTGCGTCTGTCTACTTGTCTATGTTTTGTTTTCCGCCAAACGAGAATCACTTTGCTGTAATCTGGATGGAATTACAGTCAGTTCTACTTGTATTACAATGCTTCTCTCTTGTCCAGACACCAAGAAAGTAAGGAGTCAGGCAGACGCTGGAATCAACAAAAAGAAACAGCAGCTTCAATGGTGTATTAGTAAATTTCATAATACTCATGCCCTAATGCTTCCTTTTGGCATATAACTGTTCAGTTTTTGAGTCCAGTAGTATTCCATCACTAAAATCCTTCAATGTAAGAAGAGTTCACTCAATACAGCCATCAAAATTTTAATGTCTGAAACATACGGCTTTCATGATTGCAAAAAAGACTTGAGGAAACACCAACATGTCCTGAGCAAAGCTGTATCTCCTGAAAAACTACATTTTGTGAGATATGTATACCTACACTTTACAGATGTTTTTCTAGTCCTCAAAAATCAAAAGGATATCTCTGTCCTCATGATTTGCCTATTTCATGACCAGTGAAGAACTTATGCACACTGACAGAGAACCAAAACAGACCACCAAAGGAAAACACAGAAGGACAAAGAATGTAGCAAACCTTTTTCAGGTGCTCAAAGACAGCGCCATCAAAAGAATCACAGATAAAAAGGGATTTATCATTTTCCTTTATCGCCAATGCGTCTTCTTCTGTAATAATCTGAAGATACTCTTCTGACTGCAACTCTTTTATTGACTAGAGGGGTAAAAAAAAAAAAGTTAAGAATGCACCTGAAGAAGTTGTTATTGTTGTCGTTATGTGCTGTCAAATGAGAACTCACAGCTGACCCTTCAGCATGTTTTCAGTGGCTGTAAATCGAGAAGAGATTGTCCATCTTTCTCTGCAGAGCTGCTGGTGAATTCAAACCTAGACTGTTTGCCTAGACTGGCAGCACAATTCCTTACCCACGAGGTCACCAGAGCTCCCTCACCTAAAGGTTGCTGTTGTTACGTGTTGTTGAGTCCACCATGACTCACGGCAACCTTATGAACAACGGATCTGAATCTTGCCCGATCCTGTACCATCCTCATCATCTCTGATAGACTTGAGCCCAATGTTACAGGCACTCTGTCACTTCATCAAGGGTTCTTTCTTTCTCCATCCTTCCAAAACGGATGTCCTTTTCCTAGAACCAGCCTCTCCTAAAACCATGCCCAAAATATGTGAGACAAAGCTTCATCGTCCTTGCTTCGAAGGAGCACCTGACGGCACTTTCTCTAAGATTTAGCTGTTTGTTCTTTTGGGAGTCCATAGGATATTCAGGATTCTTCTCCAACACAACTCTGGGGCAGCTATTCTTGTCATTTTCAAGTCACTGTCTAACTTTTAAAACAAAGGTCAAAATTTGAGTAAGATACACCTTAAACTAATCCTCAACTGACATTATTGTTAACAACTTAAAAGAGTAGTTGTTAGGTGCCATCGAGTTGAGTATGACTCACCACAACCCTATGAATAACAGATCTGAATTCTATCCCATCCTTCTCATCACCTTGGACACATTGAGCCCATTGCTGCAGTCAGTCACCTTGTCAATCTACCTTGTTGAGAGTCTTTCTCTCTTTCACTGACCTGCCACCCTTCCAAGCATGGTGTGTCTCACCAAGGAACAGCCCCTCCTAGCAACATGGTCAGAGTGTGGAAAACAAAGCTTTGTCACTTCTATCTCCAAGGAGCACTATTGGCTGCACTTTTCCAAGACATGTATGTTTGGGGTTTTTGGCAGTAGGTGATTTTCAAACTTCATCTCAAATCTTGCCTTTTTAGCCATCCTAATTGCTACCAACAATAAGACCAACATAGAGAGCAATCAGTTGGCCTAGTGGAGAGAAAGTGATGCTACCAAGCCAAAGGTGGGTGACTTCTAATTCATGGCCCTTAGGCCTGTTTTTCACTGTGTTTGTTTAAACATTCTTCTAGGTCATATAGCCCTGGTATGTCCACTTGCCGTACAGAGGTAACTTTTGCTGTGTAGTTGAACACTGTGACACTGATGTGTCAAATGTGATAATGGTTACCCGTGGCCGACAGTGTTTGGTGGAGCTCCCCAATTAAAACAAGCTTGGAAGCAGGAGTGGCATCCACTTCCGAAATAGCTTGCATCCGCAAACCCTATGAACCTGGAGAAAGGATGAAAGTCATACAAGTGTTGAGGACTTTCGTTCACAGGGTCGCTATGGGTCACCTACAACTGGATGGCACTTAACAACAACAATTGCTATCATTCATGAGAATGGTGCATGACAGGATAAGGTCTCACTCCGTTGTTTCTAGGGTTGCTATGAGTTGTACTCAACTAGATGGCACCTAAAATCATCATCAAAAGCTGCTACCAGCTTCTCATCTAGACCTCTAGGGTAGCCCTGATACTCCTGTTTTAAATGAACTCTCCACACAGCCGTTAACAATCTCTTTAAAAGGATAAACCAGGTCATGTCATTCTCTGTTCAAAACTCTCCAAGGACTTCCTGTCACATTAAAAAGAAAATCTACATGTCTTAGGGCCTATGTACACTTTCTAGCATGCTTACCTCTTCACTCTCAGCTCCTTTCCTTCCTTCTTACTTTGCTCTAACGATGCCAGCTTTCTAGCTGAGCCTGGACTAAGAAAAGCACGATTTCATTTAGAGACACTGTCTTCCTCCTGCTGCCAGGAGTACTTGTTAACGAGTCCACTCAGAGTTGACAGCAATGAGTTTGAGTTTCAAACTGTTCAGCTTTCTTCAAGTTTACACAAATATTATCTCCTCCGTAAATCCCACCCTGATCTTATTCTATTTAAAACCATACTCTTCCCTTTGCCTTTCAACATTCTCCTCAACCCCACAGCCTGTTGTGCTGTTTCCTTTTCCAACAGCACTTGAGAACTTTACAGCACATTGTACAGGGAGCTTGGGTGGTCAAGTGGTAAGAACATGTACTGCCAACCCTAAGGCACACGGTTTGAATCCACCAGCCGTTCCTTGGGAGAGAAATGGGCAATCTCCTCCACATGATTTAGAGCTCCTGAAATCCTGCTGGTGGGTCAGCTTTAAGTCCGTTCCTACTTCATGGCACACAACAAAAACAACATATATGCTTATGGAGTAACATTTATTTCCAACTGCAAGAATGTAAGCTCTGAGAAAGCGGGGATTTTTGCAAACTTTTTAACGTGTATCCTAAATAATAGAACAATACATATCCAATCATGAGCATTCAATTAATATTTAATGAACCATAAGACAATACTGTTGTAATACACATTGTACATAGAATCACATGGAAGCTCGTGTTAAAATAAAGATCTTCAGGCTGAGTGTGAGAATACACATTTTTAATCAACTCTTCAATCATGTAAAGATAATACAGCTATACTAACGTATAAGGGCAAAGACATAAAAATTCTAATCGATCTTAACAAACAAGTTAAAAGGAGATGCATTTACAGCATCAAATCGTACTTTCAACTATTCTTACCTCAAGGGCTTTATAAAAACACTCCGAACTGTCTGGAGACTTTATAAACTTCACAAGGAATGGCTCTTTGACATTTCCGGCCATTTTCGAACTGTCAAAATAAAAGCGTCATTCAGCAGAACAGGATACCTACGGAATGACAGTTTCAAAGCACCCACTTGAATACGCCGGCTAGAATGGCTGTAAATGGCGTGAATGAATGAGACGAGCAGGTATGCAGGGAAGGGAGGCAGATCAAAGACAAGGCTGGTAACACGGAACAGGGCAAAGCACAGAGAGCGACGCTGACGTCCCTAAAGCGAGGGTCCCGGAGGCCCTGCACGCAGGGCTCCAGGTCTCATCGGGAAATGGACCGGCGCTTTGCAGGGCGCGGGACGGATGCGGCACGGATGCGCCTGCAGCATCCACAGCCCCGAGCTCGCTCACCCTCGGCCTTTAGATGTCAACCCGGAGAGCAGTTAGCGCGGCCCGCAGACGGCCGCGGGGTCCTCCCCCCCAGGTCCCCACCCCCGGGAAGGCCTGGCTGTGCGTCCAGCCGCGGCCACGTCCCCGCCGGCGTCAGAGTTCCACCGCCGGTTGGAAGGCAGCGAAACAGGGGCCTCGCAGCGGGGTCTCCCGCGGGCGCTGCGCCCCGAAACCGCGGCAGAGGCCGAGCCGAGGCCTCACTCACCTCGGAGGAGCCCGGGGAGGGTCTCCGGGAGGGGAGCGAGGGGCGCGCGGGCCGCAGGACGGCGGCGGGGGCGGGGGGCCGGCGGAGCCCCCCGGCCCGGAGCGAAAGGAGGGGAAGCCGGAAATGACCGGGCGAAAGAACCGAGTTTCGCGCCAACGGCGCCGACGCGCGCTAGGCTCTTCCGCCGGAAGTGACGCACACAGCGGTTGCCGCGGGAGGCGGGAGCAGGCTCGCCGCGCGCTCTGATTGGGGTTGTGCGTTCTGGGCGGAGGAGCTTTTCGGGTGGGTGTGCTGTATATTGATAATATTTTATTGTTTCTGAATTGTGATTTTTTGCATTGGGAAAGTCAGCTGTGAGGGACCTCTCAAGAGTACTGAAGAGCAATGATGTCAGACTGGAGACTAAGGTGCGCCTGATCCGGGCTATAGTCTTCCCAATTATACGTGCTATGCATCAGAGAGTTGGACAGTGAATAGGGATGATAGAAAGAGAATTGATGCCTTTGAGCTTTGGTGCTGGAGAAGAGTGTTGAATATACCATGGACTGCTAAGAGAACCAACAGGTTAGTCCCGGAGAAGGTGAAGCCAGAATGCTCTTTAGAGTCAAGGATTCTTTTTTTTTTTTTTTTTTTGAGTCAAGGATTCTGAAGCTTCGTCTGACATACTTTGGGCATGTTGCAGGACGGGAGCAGTCCTTGGAGAGGGACGTCACAGGAGAGGAAGACCTTTGATGAGATGGATCTATTCTGTGACTGGAGTGGTGGGAATAAGTGCATTTGAGATGGCTAGGTTGGCACAGGATAGAACAGCGTTTAGAGCTCTTGTACATAGGGTCGCTATGAGTCGCAAGCGACTCGATGGCACATAACAACAACAACAATTGTGATTTTAACGAAAGTTGATAGAAAGGCTGACTTTTCATTCATTTATTGTTGCACATTTCCTCTCTTTCTCCTCCCCGAGTCCACTTTGCCATGAACCTCTTGTTCCAGATTGTTGTCATACATACACGCCTAATTGTACACTCCTTAAAGACAGTCCTTCCCTATACCTTAAAAGAAAAAAGAGCTGCCACCCAAACAGGTATATGCTCACCTATGTTTACTGTTGTGTTGTTCACAACAGCAAAGAGATGGGAGCAACCCAGAGGCTTATCAACGAGTGAGTGGATAGAGAAGCGGTGATATACTCACACAATGGAATACTACACAGCACTGACAAACAAGGAACTCATAAAATATTATACAAAAATGGGTGACCATAGAGGACATTATGCTGAGTGAAATGTCTCCATCACCAAAGGACAAACACTGCATGATACTATTGTTATAAAATAAGACTGACATGGGGGTTGGGAAGAAACTAAGAAAAGAGGGGATAAATAATGAACATTGCTGTGGAACAGATAATGGAAAGAACCGTTTAAAAGGAATATAATGATTAGATATCATTTGCATGACAACAGTCCAGAATAAGAGATGCATAGCAAAGTGGACTGGGCTGGGGGAGGGAGGAAACTGCAACAATAAAAGAATTTTTTTTAAGAGAAAATCAAATGGGGGGGGAAGGGGGAAATGTGCAACAATAAGTGAATGAAAACTAAAAAGACAGTCTTTCCCCTCATCTGTTCCAACACAGTGTTCGTATCTAGCCAGTCTTCCTGTTCTCCTTCCCAACCCCCATGTCAATCCTATTTTATATTTCATATATTAAATTTAAAAGAATGTAATACTTTATATATACTATTTAAATTTAAAAGATTTTCTATTTAATGCAGTATTTGGGCTTTGGTCACTGAGATATTTCACTCATGATATCTTCCAGGCTGATTCATGTTGTGTAATGTTTTGCAAGTTCATTGTTTTTCAGTGCTGTGTAATATTCCATTGTGTGGGTGAGCCACAACTTCTCTACCCATTCATTTGTTGTGATTATATGGACTGCTTCTGTCTCTTTGCTGTTGTGACTAACCCACCAAAAATCGTGTGTGTGCTGAGGTGGAGAAGTTTAACTGAGAGTTCTCCCAGCTATTCCAGAGGTTTAGAAGTTTAGGCTTTGAAGGTGGGCTTGGATTTTCCCCAAGAATCTGTCAGTACCCCCACGAATAGCAGGGTGGCCCACTGTCAGTGGCTTATCCCACACCCCCGCAGGGAATGCAAAGTCAAAGGAAAGGGAAGTTGTCCTTACAGCCATAAATATGAATTTGCTGGACAGCCAACACACAACACACACCACAACAACAACACACACTCGTGCTAGGAAGTAGTCAAGAAACTACAGTGTCACCCTAAAGAACCCTGTGGTGCAAATAGTGGTATCACCATTTTACAGGTGTAAAAACCGAGGCTTAAAGAAGGGCGTCTCTCTTTCTCAGCACTTGCCTGAGTTTTATGGGCAGATTCTGAGATGAAACAATCCTGGAATGATGTTCAAACAACAAAGGGCAGAGAAAGGAGTAAAAAGGGTTTGCAGAATCTTAGCCGACTGAAACCAATGATTCACTATTTACATTTTTCTCTTTAGGGCAGAAATATGGCAGTGAGTTAGCTCTGGTGGTTTAGTTTCACTGCTAACCGAAAGAGGGTGTGTCTCCAGGGACTGGAATCCCCCTGCAGCAGGTCTTTGGGAGAAAAATGGTCAGTCTCCTCCCGTTGCCACTGACAGCCTCAAAGACCTGCTATGAGTCAGAAGGTTTGAGGTCTTTTCTTTTAAAGGCAATGAAGACTTTGATTGGATTTAAGTGTATTGACATCCCTGGAGTAGATGAGCTTGGACTAAAACACTGAGATCATGGTTGGGAAGAGTTTGAGGAAAATCTTGAACACGAATTACTAAAATGGAAAAAAGAAGCTCCAGGTGATTGTTAAGATGCAACCTTGCCATAAAGCTGTAGTAATTGAGAGAGGGCTCATGCTTGCCCTGTTCCACTTTCTTCTCAGCTATCCTTTTATTGTTAGATGCCCTTGAATAAGACTCACAGCAACTGTACCACAGAATGCAACATTGTATCATTCTCATAATCCTTGGAGTGTTTGGGCCACCCCTTTTTTGTGTGTGTATGGACTGTAATTTTGGAAAATTTTTATTATCATTAATTTTCATGAAAATTTACAGAGATTTTGGATTTCCATTCATTCATCGTTGCACTTTTCTCCCAGCCCACCCCTTCTCCCGGGTCTTTCTTCTCTTTGAAAAGTAAAAGAAAACTTCTTTCATTGTTATACAATCCCCCAGTTCTTGTAGCCTCTATATCAGTTGGTCTCTCAGAATGTCTTGCTCCTTTTCATGGACCACCTAGTGAGAAGCCTAGTGGTGCAGTGAAAGAAGTGTTGGGCTGCTAACCAGAAGGGAGGTGCTGCTCATCAGGAGAAAGACGAGGTGGTCTCATCCCATAAAGATTAACAGCGGTGGAAACCCAGTGAGGAGTCACCATGAGTCCAAGTCAACTTGAGCGCAATGGGTTTGGTTTGCTGTCAAGCATGATGTCACTTTCCTGGCACAGGTTTCTTGTAATTAATGTGGACAGAGTATGTCAGACGGAGTCAGAGTCCTAGATTCTAAGGAGCTCTGTTCCTTAGAAAAGAAAGACTAAGAAAGACGACTCAGCACAGGGCAGGCTTCAGAGCTGTTGGACACAAGGTTGCTATGAGTAGGAGGTGACTTGACGGCACACAATGACAAAAAATGCAGTCTGTGTCAAGGTGGTAGTCTGTGCTCTTCACTAATTCCACACGGGTGAACCATCCCCACACACAACATCCACTGTACAAAACTGATTCTCCTGAGGTCAACTATGCCCCCTATGGTCCTCAAAATTCCCACCATCAGTTCTACCAGCCACACTCTGCCCCCAAGGGTTCTTGTAGCTCTGTGACTGGATCCACTAGTTCATTGCAGTGAACACACAGAACTCACAGAACAAATTCAGGATTATGGGGTTTATTAAGGAAATTGTGGCTGAACCAGTCAGAACCAACTCATAGCTGACTCTCCAGCGAGTTTTCCGAGGCAGTTAATTGCATGAGAGGAGATGGCCCATCTTTTCTCCATGGAGCAGCTGATGGATTCAAACCATGTGCCTTTGCCTTGGCAGTAGAATTCTGTAGAATTTTTTACCACTAGGCCACCAGACTGGGGTAATGGGGCTAGGCATATGTGAAACAATTAAATTACCTTGAGATAGAGCTGGGTCCAGAGCTGTTGTACATAGGGCCGCTATGAGTCACAAGCAACTCAATGGTAATAACCACAACAGGCCTTCAGAATCCCCTATTCAGGAAGTTACTAGGTTATAGCTCACGAAGCAGGATACAATTTTGATATCTGTCAGGCAAGACCGCTTCTCAGGTATGCTTGAAGACCATATGACCTTCAGCCTCTTGACTTTAGGACAGTGTTACAAAGTTCTTTTGTTATGTGGTCCAGTCACCTGCTACTTATAGTGACCCTATGTACAATACCTCTGAACTCTGCCCTATCTTGAGCCAGTCTCACTGACTCTGACACACTTTATCCCATTGCCCCAATTACCATGTCAATCCATCTCTTCCAGGGTCTTCCTCTCCTGTGTGTCCCTTCACCCTTTCAAACATGATGTCTTTCTCAAAGGACTGGTCCCTCCTGGCCACATGCCCAAAGTATATGAGACAGAGCTTCAAAACACTAGCCTCCAAGGAGCAACTTGCTTTCATCCTCTCCAAGATAGACCTATTCTCCTGGCAATCCATGCTGTTCAAGATCTTCTCCAGCACTAAACTCAAAGGCATCGATTTGTCTTCTGTCATCCATAGTCATTGTCCAGCTCTCTGATGTAATAATGAAGACTATTATGGTCTGAATCAACTGCACCTTAGTCTCTAGACTGACACCATTGCTCTTTAGCAAAGCAATTCATCTGAAAGTTCTCTTAGTCTTGCCAATTATAGTGTCTCCCCATAGTGTTCCAAAAAGCAAGGAATTCAGCTCTGGATCTATGAGGCACCAGTCCCAGTTCAGCTCTGTGTCACATTAGTCTCTGGTTCTCTGTTCCTTTTGCTGTTGTGTTAATCTCAGTCTGTCTCCTTTTGCATAGAAATTTTTCAGTCCTTGAGGGTTGTGCCCTGCACTCTGCTCCTTTCTTGCTAATAGCAAAATTTCCTTTTACTGCCAGTGAACCTGCTAAGATAAAAGCTTGAAGGATCACAAAACTACCCGACTGTCTTGTTAGTAGTCTGTACACCTTCTCAACACATTCTCACTCAAAGATACTATTCACCTTATTTATATCATCATTATACTCTCACCCAGCTATGTGTTGAAAGTCAACTCCAATGGTTAGGAAAATTATTTTGTCTGTTTCTTTTTTTTTTAAGGAAAGTACTTTGGAAAAATCAACTCACCGCACCACAAAAGCATTCTGATAAACAGGTTTATTCATTCTTCTGGGCATCCATGATACAGTCCATTTTCTTGACCAGTACCACAATTCAAAGACATGTATTGTTTTTTGGTCTTCTTTATTTATTAAACAGTTTTACATACATGTGAAGTAACTGAAAATACCATAACATGGATCAGCATTCCTTTGTCCTCAAAGCAAGTTCTTTGTTCTTTTAACACTTTCAAGATATTTTGCAGCAGATTTTTCCAATGTAATATTGCATTTGATTTTTTCAAAGTTAAAAAATGGACTATATCATGGTGTTGGAGAAGAGCACTGAACATCCCATGGATGGCCAAGAGAACAAACAGATATGTCTTGGAAAAAAGTGACAGAAGAGTGCTCTTGGAAGCCAGGCTGGTGAAGCTTCATCAGGCATGTTGCGAAGAGGGGCTGTTCCTTAGAGAAGGACATCAGGCTTGGAAAGGTGGGGGATCACTGAAAGAGAGGAATACCCTCATGAGATAGATCAACAGGTGACTGCAGTAATGGGCCGAAGTGTATCCGAGATGATGAGGATGACACAGGATATGACAGGGTTCAGGTCTGTTGATAGGGTCCCTATGGGTTGTACTCGACTCAACAACAATAACATCATAGTGGCGTGTGTGTGTGTGTGCGCACGGTACAGTCAGAACCGGTCCATAGCTGAGCCTCCAGTGGGTTTTCAGATGTGGCTAGTCACACAGGAGGAGATTGCCCATTTTTCTCCCATGGAGCAGCTGGTGGCCTTGAACCATGTGTCTTTGTGATCACAGCACAGCTCCTTGTCGCTAGACCACCAGAGATAAGGAAATGGGCTACCAGTGCAGAGGTATACAATTTGAATCAAGCAGCTTCTCCTCTCACACAATTAACTGTCCCTGGAAAATCTGCTGGAAGGTCAGGTATAGGTTGGTTCTGGCTTGATAGTATACAACAACAATAACAACAACAGTTTTAAAAAGATGAGATCACAGACACATTAAACATGAAAGGATGGGAAAATATACTAACAAGACCCGAAATAAAGCTGTTGTAACTATGTGGCTATTGACTGAAGAAGACTTTAAGGGACCCCTGGCTTGTTTGTCAGGGTATCAAGGTGACATAGTCTGTAGACAGTTGCATTTCTAGCCCAAAGGCTGAGTCTCTCTGGCATTGCGAATCCACCAGTGGCTCTCCAGAAGAAAGAATGTCCATCTCCTCCTGTGGTGTTTACAGTCTCAGAAACTCAACTGAAGGTTGGGGTCCTTTCCAACTTGACAGCAATGGGTTTGAGTTTACTTTTGAGATCAGATTTAAATGCATACAATTGTTATAGGGGTTTGTGAACTACACACTCCATGGCTAGTTGCACAGCCAACCAAAAGACTTGCAGGTGTGGGGAGGTGCGATTACCAGTAGCCGGAGGGTGAAACACAAGCAATCTCCTCCCATTACGATTTCCAGCCTCTGAGACCCAATCAGGGTGGTTTGAGTTGGTTCTGACCAGATGGCTATAAATGAATGGGTTATTTTTATCCAAATGAAAGGAATGAGGTTTGAGGAGGGCTTGGCAGGGAGAAAAGTGCAACAATGAATTAATGGAAATCCAAAGTCTCTGTAAACTTTCATTAAAATCAATAATAATAGTAATAATAATAACTTGGATGCAGGAGCAGCATCCACTTCAGAAATGGCTTGCCTCCAGAAACTCTATGTATGAACAGTGCTCAGGCCTTTCGTTCATAGGGTCTCTAGAGTCGTCTATGACTCGACGACACCTAACAACAACAACAACAACAATAATAACAAAAGGAAAAAAATGAATGAAGTTGGACCTCTACCTCACACCATATACTTTTGTATAGAACTCAGAAAAGGATCAAAAATCTAAAGGTAAGCGTTAAGAAGTATACACTGGTTAGAGACAAAATTTATTTCCCATAGGAATAAAGCTTCATGACTTTGGAATAGGCAGTAGTTTCTTAGAATAGTATTGAAGGGTGACGCCTTTCACATCCCCTGCTGTGAGCCTCTCCTAAGAGTAGATTGCAGAAGAGTGTCAGGTTCAGAAAGGGCCCCAGAGAAATCAGAGGGAGATGCTTTAGGAAGAAGGGCCCCGGAGTCCTGAACACATTCCACAGTATTGTGTCTGCCAGCACACGTGTACTTCTTGGTGGAGTTATTGTTGTCTTGTCCATCGGAACCAACTTCTAGCTGGCCCTCTAATGGGTTTTCAGAAATAATAATTCACACGGGGGGATATTGCCCATTCTCCTCCCTGGGAGCACCTGGCAGATTCAAACCTTGTGCTTTGGGGTTGACAGCCCAGTGCCTTGCCCCCAGAGCTCCATTTTTCTTAAAGGGCCCAGAGCTTTTTCACCCTGTGCATTTCTTTCAAGGCACACAAGGTCTGTGTCTCTAAAACACTGAGGAGAATGCACACCCACGTTTATCGCGGCTTTGTGCACAATAGCAAAGAGTTGGAAACAACCTAGGTGCCCATCCACAAACGAATGGATAGAGAAGCTGTGGTATGTTCACACAATGGAATACTACGCTGCATTGAAAAACAAGGAACTCTTGCAATATTATTCAAAATGGGTGACCCTGGAGGACATTATGCTGAATGAAACATCTCAGTCACAAAAGGACAAATATTGCATAGGGCCACTGTTGTAAAACAGGACTGACATCAAAGTTGAGGAAAGACAGAGAAGGAGGGGATGAATGATGTATACGCATTGAAACAGATGAGGGAGAGAACTGTTTAAAAGCGATATATGATTTGATATAATTGTCATGACAGGAGTCCAGAATGAAGTCCACAGTGGAGTGGACTTGGGAATAGGGATTGCATAACAATGAAAGATTTTTTTTCTTTTACTTTTCAAAAAGAAAAGTGAATTGTAGGGCACGGGTGGGCAGGGAGAATAGTACAGCAATGAATGAATGGAAATCCAAAGTCTTTGTAAACTTTCATTAAAATTAATTTTAAAAAAGTAAACTTAAAAAAATAAGATTAGAGCAAAGGAAACACACACACGTATAATCACTGAGGAGCTTCTTGCTTGGAGGACAGTCATGAGCTCAGGAATTCTAGTTACTAACCAGGTTCGTAAAGGATCACCTCAGCTCTGGGCCTCAGTTTCTCTCTGCGTGGATTATGGCAGTCAGACGAAGGATTTCCGAGATGGCTCCAGGTGGAACCTCCAGGGTGCTGACCTCTCCCGGCCTAGTTGAGAACTGACAAAGGGACAGCTGTGCATTGGCTGGGAATGCGTCAGGGCAAACTGCTTTGCACAGAGGACATTGGCTGCTCTAGGGCTGAGCTGGGGACACAGGGTGGGTGTGGCGAGGGCTGGGGCACACTCGGCCAGAAGGCAGTCAGTCCAGTCCCACTGACTAGCAGGTTGAAACCTGCCAGAGGTTTGGGGCTGGAGTTGCATCCATATCTGAGAAATGAAGCTGGCGGTCTGCTGCGCCCTGCTCTGTACAGGGGCCCTGGGTGAGTGTGTGGCTGGCAGCCCAGCTGTGAGTGGGCCCCTGTGGGGACTCCAGGGAGGGTCCAGGTGCCAGCTGAGGATCCACCGCAGGAAGCTGTGGATCAAGTGATCAAGTGACTCCTGTAAGGTCCCCCCAGCTCCCCTCCCAGCCTATGTCCGAGCATCCCTGCTGCTGTCCCCAAAGTGCTTCCTCAGGAACACAGGCACTTTGGTCTTCACAGAACCCAGGTAACCCAGAGCGGAGGTTTACCAACTATGGGTAGGGTGCCAGATCCAGCCTGCCGCTTTACTGAGACTTCGAGATGCACTGAAAGCGGTATTAACCATCTTTAAATGATTGGCGTGAGCACTCAAAAAAAAAAAGGAAGAGTGTTTTGTGACAAATGAAAACGATGTGAAATTTAAATGTCAGAGCCCATAAATAAAAACTTCACTGGAACACCATCATGGTCATTGTTCTCATAGCTGGAAACTGCACGAGAGAAAAGTGCCCTCTTTCTTCCTGGGAGCAGCTGGTGGATTCAAACTGTGTTCCTTTGGGTTGGCGGCACAACTTCTTACCACTAGGTATTTTCTGTAGCTGCATTGACTCTCCAGGGATAGGGTTGGTGGTTGCCACAGAAGCTATATGGCCCATAAAACCCAGTATATTTCCTTACTCTCCAGTCCTTTATGCAAAACAAAACAAAATACAAATTATTGACCGTTGGCCTACGGGTCATTAGTCTTGTTTACAGTGAAGGAGATTGACACAGAGGAGAGGGAGTATTTACTCCAGGGTTTGTGGGTTAATATTAAGTGGTGTTCCACTGTGTTTGCTATCCCTTCCTGCTTCTGGCCATGAGCTGACAGCACCTTTGTCTGTCCGTCTGTCTCCTCTCTTCTCTCTCTCTCTCTCTCTCTC